TCATTACACGAGTAAGAAAAAGTTTATTACTAAATATATATTATTATTTATATACACAAAATGGTTTTATTTAGTAATTCCAAAAAAGGATTTGAGGCGATAAGAGATAACGATCAGGTGACAAAGAATATATATATATTCAGTAATACATTCAGTAACACAGTATTCTTTGTATGTATATCTTTTTGAGAATTCATCTAATTCATCTAATTCATCTATCGTTAAAAAAAATTCCATTCTCCCACGTATGTAACTTTATCATCAGCATACTATACATGCAAGATATGATAGAATGATTGATTAGATATGATACACAGGAAACGATACATACATGATACGATACATACACTATATAGGAATACGACACGTATACATATACTCGATACATATACGATGGTACGACGATAATGCCATGGTCAAATATTAGCTATGCTTAATATGAAAATAGAGTACCATACTAACCATACTTACCATCATACCATTCTACTATCTAGAACAGGATACTTTCACAATACGCACACAAGATACTATACATACAAGTCACAACACGCACATAGGATACTGTCACAATACGCACACAAGATACTATACATACAAGTCACAACACGCACATAGGATACTGTCACAATACGCACACAGGAATGACAGGATACGATACATACAAGTCACAATAGGATACGAACACATACAAGTCACAATACATACAATATACAAAATAACACAAATAACACATCCTGTATATACAAGTCACATTACATACAATACATAATACATACAGGATACACTACATTAATCCACTAACTCACTAGCCCACTAACATTAGCCACTAACCATTAATTCTTTAATTCGCTAATTCATTAATTCACTAATTCGCTAATTCATTAATTCACAAATTCACTAATTTATCAACCTATTAGGTTACCAACCATTACACTAGCCACGTCATTTCAACTAGTTTAAGTTTATCAAAATCATACTCATCCTCTTGGATTCTAAAATCTTTCAAAATCCTACCATGTAATTCTGAAAATATTTGTACCATAATTTCTAAATCTTTAATATCTCCATCACAAGAAATTTTTAATACCTTCAAAAATGTGACACACTTCTCTAAAACAGTTTCAAATATATCTAACGATATTCTCCAATTTGATAAATTTAATTCTAAAAGATTTGAAGAACAAAGTTGAGTGAATTCATTCATGAATGGATCAGCTAAAAATTTAGGTTTTCCATCATATCCTACATGAATTTTTTGTAAATTCTTACATTGACTCATTATTTTTAATAATATTAACATATTATTCCTATTTCTAATATTTACAAAAATGTTTACCAGATTATAACAATTCTCTGAAACTGATAGTAAAATTCCTGGTATTCCTGAAGGATCTTGATTTAATTGAAATTCTTTTAAATTCTTTCCATTATTTTTTATAAATAATTTCATGTTTTCTAAAGCATCAATTGTAAATTCACAACAAGTAAATTCTATTACTTCAAGTTCAGGATATAAAATATTTGATAAAATATTAATAGGAAAATTAAAATCAATCAACATAAAAGATAATTTCTTCAATCTTTTACATTTCTTTAAATATTTTAATTCATCATTTGTAATTATATCTCCATGAATTTTAATAATTTCCAAAGAATCTTCAATCATTCCTTGTAAACCTTTTATAGTATCCCTTCCAAAATTTGATACAGTTGAATAAGTTAAAGATTTAAGACATTTTTGAACTTGTAATAATTCTTTTATATTCCTTGATTTTAAATCATCATTCCAAGTTAAATAAATAGAACTCTCCCAAGGATAAATTTTTAAATGAATTATTTCATGTGAACATTCTTTAATTTTATCAATTATGGATGCTTTATGAAAATTTCCATCACATATTAATTCTTTTAATCCAATCAAACTTCTATTATTATCTTCCTTTATACCATTAAAAAGTATACCAAAATAATCATTAGGAATGAAAAAAGTCTTATTGATATCTATGAATAAATTTTCTATTCCTTTGCTTCTTTTAATAATTATATAAAAGATTGATTCAAAAAATGCCAACATTTCTTGTACTTCTATTGAATAATTTATAGAATAATTATAAATAAAATAATCATTATTATTAATAAAATGATTTTTTTCTAAATTTGGTCGAAATAATTTATTATTATTCAACCAAATTTTAATTAAATTCAATAATTTATTAAAATCTATTTGTTTAATAAAATATGAATAATCAAATAAAATTTTTGTAGGTATTCCAATACGATTATCTTTTATTTTAAAAATATTTTTTTGTTTCTCATCAAGATAAAATAAAATTATTGAGATTATTTTATAAAAATTTTTAAAAGGATATTTTACGTTGTTAAAAGATTTCTCCCATAAATATGAAATTCCAACTTGACACCAATCTTTATTGATTAATATTATAGAATGTAATGTATTTATATCATCTTCTTCAACGTAATTAAGAATTTCTGTTATAATTTCAATTAAAAGTTTAGGCATTTTTTTTTTTTTGAAAAAGAAAACCAACCGTTGTGTGGTTAAAAAGTATGTCGATCAATTGATTTGCTTACTGACAATAGAGTAGTATATTTAAACTCCAAAAGACGTCATATAGATATCTACATGATGATATTAACTTTAGTTGGTTTAAATCTTTTTACATGGAAAATACATGAAATAATCATAAAATAAGTATAAGTGTATAACCATCTTCAGAATAATGTTATTTTCCCACCATTATTGATGATTATACTATTTATAATTATGTCATTATATTTTTTTCGATTATTATTACAAACTTTGCCAAAATCATCAATCAACAAACAAATAATCTATCTCACGTGATAATGGCACATTTTTTTAATTTGAATTATTAAAACTTCCACAGTCTAATGACTTGCACGACAGAACTTTTACATTGAATCTCGCGTGACATTAAAATTATGAGTTTAAAATTGATATTCTACAAAAATCTTATATTATTGGGTAGAGTAATAATATATGATTGGTTCCAAATTTTTGTAAATTTTATTTTTATTATTTTTATATAAAATTGTATAAAAGTACGGTAAGTTTCATGAAAAGACCCTCTTAATGTTAGCAATTTGTGCTTGATTCCGGTCAAACTTACTACGTACACTTATCCACGGGTCTTCTAAAATTACATTGGCAAAAAACGAATTCGTGAATAAACATTTCTCAAATTTATTCCTGATTTCATAAAAGACCTGCACGCTATTACGTGGGGTACGGGAGCGTCCAATTTTAAAAAGTGGGAAAGATCCATCAACATTTACTCGACACAAGAAGAAGAATTATCGCAATTTTTTTAAATCTTCCTCTACTCAAACCATTCATCGTGAGAAACAACGGCTTCATCATCAGAGTTCTTCACAAATATTATATTAATAGTGATCCCCATTTGGTCACCTTTTCTCATATACGGTGGACAGACGTGGACTTCATCAAATTTTTTGCATTCGGGTACTTGGTTTTCTCATTAAATTTAATTCAATAGATATTATAGATATTTTAGGTTTGTTTCCTTTCAATTCTTTTTTTTCTTTTTTTTTCATGTTTTAGTCATTTATTTGTGGGTCCTGGTATTACATAGTGTGCTTTATCGTTACGACGTTACGTGTAGTGCGATTAAGCTTGTCCTTTCTTCCCCAGAGAAATGACGCCGTCAGGTGGCTTAAATAATTGGTTTCGGAATATACGAATCGAAACCTCACCCGAAACTCTAAACAAATTCCGAAACTCGAATTTCGGTTATCTCGAAACTAATCTCGATATTCTTAAACTCACTGATTGACTGACCACGTGGCAATTTAAATATTTAATATAGTAACGATAAATGTTTGAGAAATCTTTAAAATGTCGGATAGTTTACCATCAAATTCAAGTCTGAAAATAGTACTGGTGGGGAATCTAAAAAAGCCTATTTGACAAAGGGTACTATGTCGTAAAGTTAGTGTCAAGTCCACCTATTGATGATGGTTCCATCTCAAGGATTTGGAAATTTTAAATGTGCTTGATTTGGATTCAATGTTTAAGGATAAATCAAATAATATAACGGATACAATGATTTTATTCAAGAGGAAGAGTTCAAAATTTTAATTCATAATATAATTTTACATAATAAAGTTTAAATTTAATTGTACAAGATTGTTATGATTTTAGTTAATTTTTAATTAAGTAAACTAATAGGTTTCGGTTATATTTCGGTATATAAAAGTTTCGGCAGTTTCGGGTTGGATTCGGGATTCGGGTTTCAGGAGGTTTCGGTTTCGTGCCCCATTGTTTCGTCTCATTCACTCACTCACTGGCTTTTTTACAGTATCGCATATGTCCTACTTTATGAAATTATATTTAAATTCCTACTGATAATGTACGGTATTTCTCTGAGAGATAAAAATAAAAATAAAAAAAAATTAATTGTGCAAATTAAATCATTGTGCAAAGGTCCAGTGTAGTTTGCTAAAATTAAATCAGCTGCGCATTTTGCATAATATTTAAAAGTTTCTTAAACTGTTACGACGTAACCAACTTTTGCCTTTATTTAACCATTATTAAAAATTCGAAATGTATAAATATACAATATATGTAACACTATATATGTATAAGCGTATATTCATGGAATACTGCGCAACCGGATAATCGCTATTCTGATTTAAGTTTCCTCGGTGTTATGTAGGACCGAGAAAAACTTATGACATAGGTTACGACTATTCTTATCTATACGCTTTTACTAATAGATATAGGCCTCAAATTTTAAAGCTGATTCATAAAATTTCTCAAAATTTACCCGATAACCCCTATTAGAAGTTTATTATGATGCACAAATTTTAATTTTTGCTTTATCTTATACCATAAGAAGCTTACAACTTTTTGATGCTTATAAATTTTGAACAAAAAGTATTAATAAGCTACTGCGTATATAAATATTATCCAAAAAAAGGACTCTTATTTACTTTTCCCCTTTCTTGCTTAAATATTTGCCAAATTTTAATTAAAAAATGATCAATTACGAATGCATTAATACATAAACTAATAAATATTAATTGCTCAGGCAAACACGTTAAATTATGATGATTGAAAAAAATATATAAATTTGCCTTGTTGACCTTTGGGTTTTTTCATTGAAATTTTATTTAATCGAATTTCATTAAAGAAAATAAAATGGCTCTTCCAACTCGTGAATTAGGTAAAACTGGAGTCCAGGTTCCAGTAATTGGCCTAGGATGTATGGTATGCAATAATCATATATTTATTTTATTTATTTCTTTTCTTTTCTTTTTTTTTTCTTTTTGTTAAATTTATTTAATACAGGGAATGAGTGATTTTTTTGGATCGTCTGATGAAAAAGAAAACATCAATGTATTGAACAAATCGATTGATCTAGGAAGTTACTTTTGGGATACTGCGGTATATACATCAGACTCGTTTTTATAACATACAATGTTTTCTCAATTCATTTAGTTAATTACTTATAATCATGATTTTAGGATATGTACGGATGTGGTGCCAATGAAGAACTTGTCTCCAAAGTTCTTAAAGAACGTCGTAATGAAGTGTTTATTTGTACAAAATTTGGAATTATTCGAGGTCCTAATGGAGAATTTGAGGGTATAAGAGGAGATCGTGAATATATTCATCAAGCTTGTGAAAAATCTTTGAAAAGACTTGGAGTAGATTATATAGATCTTTATTACCAGATTCGTGTAGATATTAATACGTAAGTAAAATATGAAATCATCTATTTTGCTCATAAAATAATAACGAAATAATTATAAATTACATTTTTTTTTTTTTGAAAAAAAGTCCTATTGAAGAAACTGTTTCTGCTATGGCAGAACTTGTTAAAGAAGGTAAAGTGAAACATCTTGGGCTCTCGGAATGCTCCGCGGAAACGCTTCGACGCGCTTGTAAAGTTCATCCTATTGCAGCTCTACAGGTATATATCTATATACTTGTATATAATTTTTACAGAATTAATTCATTTATTGTTTCTCTTTATTAAAAGATTGAATATAGTCCATGGACACTTGATATTGAACAAAATGGAATTATTGACGCATGTCGTGAATTAGGTGTCACAATTGTAGCTTATAGTCCACTTGGACGTGGGTTCTTAACAGGAAAATATAAATCAATTGATGATTTTGAACCAGGTGATCATAGAAAAGTTAGTCCACGTTTCATGGGTGATAATTTTGCAAAGAATTGGAAGATTGTAGAGAAAATTAATGAATTTGCTGCGAAGAAAGGTATCGCTCCAAGTCAACTTTGTTTGGCTTGGGTTTTAGCTCAGGTATTTAATAAATAATTTTTTTTTTTTTTTAAGATAAATTTATTTAATTAAATATTCATCGGATTTACTTTTAATTTTAAGGGAGATAATATTATTACAATTCCTGGTACAAAGAAAATTAAATATTTAGAGGAAAATATTAAAGCAGTTAATGTTCATCTTTCTCCTGAGGAATTATCCGAAATTCGTAGCATTATTAATTCTATTGAAATTATTGGTCTAAGATACCCAGAAGAACATTGCGCTGTAAGTATAAGAACATTATTTGTATTTTTATATTTAAACTCGAATAATATTTAATTTAAAATTATATTTTTAGTCATTGAATCTATAAGATGCATTGGAAGAATTACGAAAATAAATGAATTCAAATAATATTTTTAGTATATCTACAAGTTGTATTTTCTGTTTAATTTATTGAAATAAATTTTTTTTTTTTTAACCAAAGAATTTTTAATCGTAGTATTTGCATAATTATGTATTTTTATCACGTGAGTGGTTTTAGCTATAAATACCCCGAAATTTTTTGCTGATTATTGAAAAAGATAATTTTTTCGTATATAATCCGGCCATTATTATTTACTAAAAAAATCAAAATTAAAAAAAAAAAAAATGACAATTGAATATTTTAGATATTACCTAGTTGTTTGAAACATCATAATTTAGGTCTTTATATAACGGTAAGGTATTATGGAGTGAGAGATTTTAAAAAAATCATTTAATCGTCGGATTTTTTTTGTTTTATAATTTTGAACATTTTTTTACTTTTTTACTGTAAATATAAAATTATAATGAATTATACATATACAGGTCCATGTGATTTTGATGATTCTGCAGCACCTCTAGCTGGTAATCTTTTATTCCCACAAATGTTGGAATAAAACCGAAAAATCGATAAAGACCAAAAAACGTATTTATAATTTGATAATTTTTCATTCTTTGTTTTAGTAAAAATACTTTCAATTTTCCTAAAGAAAATGTTCTTTTTTTATTAGTTACAATATATGGAATGGTAAATAAAACATACTTTAACCCGATTACAGGGTGAAATTTTCTTTCCAACTTATCTTTTTAGCGTTTCTTTTATCTTATTTTTATGGGGGACTGGATATCGATGATGGAAAGAGATTACAGAATGGAATGGAATAAGATATTTTAATGGGGGGAGATGTAACTGGTTATGGAATTAATTATTTAAATTTTATACCAAAAATGGTGTCCATTTAAGAATCGCTTTTAATAATATTATGATTCTGAGATCTTCAAATGAAAGAATTTTGGTTAATTTTGGCACTAAACCATTTTTATTTGGTATCGATAATTATTCAAAGGTATGTTTATTTAGGCAATTTTAAAGAACATTTAAAATTATTTGAGAAGAAAAAAGAAAAAATTTAGCGATAATGGCAAAGAAATAGTATATAATTTATTTCCCGCTAATAGTATCGGGAGTGGAAATTCTGATGATTTTTATTTATTAAAAATAATAAATATTTTTTTAAATGATCTTCCTAAAATTTCTTGAGAACAATCATTTCTACCACCAATGAAATTTCGTCACCTTATCGTGCGGTTGAAGATGGTAAATTTATTCCAAATATAATTGAATCTCTCAAAATTTTGAAGGAAGTGTTCACATTATGTATGATTGGGCTCAAAATGTGCTTATTCTCAAGATCCGAGTCTAAATATACTATCTTAAATCAAATTCCCTCCTTAATTTCTCTTTGATTTCAAATAAAGAGAGGAGGATTGGTGTGCATTGGAACCTTTTGAGTATAACGATTGGTTTTAACACGGACTTCATAACCTTAGATTCACTGATGAATTATGAAAGATTTTATTCAAATAGAAAAATTAAGAGAAATTAAATTAACATTTATACTATCAAATAACTTCTTAAAACTTCATACTCATTTATTTCTCCATACAGTGGCTATATATATATATATACCTGTCTCTTATACACATCTAGATGTGTATAAGAGACAGCATTTATACTATCAAATAACTTCTTAAAACTTCATACTCATTTATTTCTCCATACAGTGGCTATATATATATATATACTTTTCTTGATTTAAATTATTTTAAATATTATGGGAAACATACCAATCACAAAGGAAGAATACTAGTGGCAAATTTCATCTCTTGATGTTAAAATGCAAAATGTTAAAATATTATTCTATATTTAATAAATTTCAAAATCGTTATGAATAGAGTTGCTAATAGTAACACTTTTTTAATGATTGATATGGACAAATTCATAGCATTGCTTTTCTTGTAGCAAACCTTCCAGTTCTCCATAAATGCTATTTACTTCGTTCTCACACAAATCAATTATTTGTACACCTATATTGATTATTCCATCCCACCCTTTCCATTGTTGTATTGACCTGCTTTGCTGCTTAGATATATACTTGCGTATCATTCGGAAAGCTCCAGATTACATCAATCCGGAAGCCCATGGCACAAGACACAAATCTAAAGATTTAATTAGATTAGTTGATTTTTCTTGTGTCACTTCAATTTTTTGTGTTTAAAGGTATGAAATACTCTAGTTTGAGTATATGTCAGGTAGTTGTGCAAATAATTGTGGTAAATTACCCACGTTTTGAATTTAGGCACACGTGGATCAGTATACCATAACACAACACTTGAGTTAGCCGTTCAATAAATTCAACATCAACATGTACTTGAAAAAGTATAATAAGCTCATTATAAAGCATACCCAACAGTTTGCGTAGTAACATTCAATGGATTCGTTTGTAAAACATGTGTTAAGAATTGGTGATGGATAAGATGGAGTTATTTCGGTAATTTAAGATTTATTATAACTTCCAATTCATCGTCAAATCATTCTCCATTTCTTGCATCTACCCAACCATATATTCAATATCTCTTTGCATTAGGTGTAATTTTTTTATATACGTCTCTAAAGGTAATACAGTCACTAACATTTGGCACCTTTTGATTAAAATTTTAGTACCTTCCTTCACATTTATAATCAAACGAAAATGATGTTTTGAATAAAGTTTATTATACTTTACGCGTTCTCGTTAGGATACAAATTAAACCATCCAAATTTCCAAAAGAAAAATTTCGCCTTTCGAAAAATTTCAGACGTACAGGCAAGTCGTGTCGTCAGAATTTAACACTGTTAAATTAGTACGTGATACGGTGATAAACAAATCTTTAGATGAAGATTCGATGAGATCAATGATAATAGTCTGTACGACGATCGATTTCTTATATATATTCCAAGAAAAAATTCTTAACTAAAACTAATTTCTTCAAAGTATTTTATAACATTAGTGTCTTTTTATAATGTACAAATGTACACGCGCCTCTTTTAGTTGTATGGAGACCACCAGGCCTTACCTGGTAGTTCAACACTGTAAGTGGACAGATTGGATGCTGGATTGTTAATGCTACAGGGTTTATATGCAAACCTTCCGTGTTCAATACACGTGTAAGAAAAGAGAGAGTCTACTTTTGGCGGCGGGCTGCCTGAACTTTCAACTGGCTAGGGTCAATATGTCAGAGATTGTCATGTGCTCGACCGCATGGTTGTGACAGATTAACTTTTAGTCAGATGTGGGCTACAAATGAATTGTGATGAACAGATGAGTGAAAATTTCAAACTGGTCGCAAAACTTTATAAACCATACACCGAAATTAGCGAGTTTTTCTTTAAACCACCTTGAAGTGGTGGAGTAGCATTTGGAGATTTCACAAAATTTATATACAAGAAGGACCGAAGGAACCATGAGCCATGTAATCTATAATTCCCATGTTTTCCATCACAAATAGGGCATGGTGAGCTCCACGGCTGAGAAGATACGAAATTATAATTATCAATCCCCCTGAAACTATTTCAGTATGTGAAATGCTTTAACACAGATCTGATAATTAATTCCGGATCGGGTTTGGCTTCAAAAGTAATAGGCTTGAAATCAGAGGCTGCTAGCATAGCAGGCTTTCTTAATTGTCACGTAAATGTTGGTCATTTTGTCGATCATTTGTCATTTCGTCATTTTTTTATTAAAAACATGTCAATAGCTATAATGATGATTGTAAAAACTATAGACATTAATAAATTTAATATTAAAAAATAAATTTTAAATTATATTTTATGGTGAAGTTAAACATAAATAAAATAAATTTTAATGTAAACTTAATTATAAAATCAACCAATAAATTAACCTTAATTTATATTATTGACATAATTTAAATTAGTTTAATGCCTCCTGTTTATATCTTCATCAGCAAAAACAACTACATTATCATCATTATCCTCTAAACTTGCCTGGTCCTCCAAAACTTCGCCATTATCCTTATCATCATCAAATTTCATATTCAACATATTCTGAAATATCTTGCAATTATCTTTAATACCATTATATAACAATATGGGCACCTCTGATTCACTTGGTTAAAACATTCTGTATGGTAACCATGATAGAACATTACCTGACGCCTCTTCTGATGACAAAGTGCATTTACTCCAATCACATAGTTTGTCTGATTTAGGAGAGACAAGTTGAATTCCATCCACAATTTTGCCAAGTGTTGGTAAATTGTATTGCCAATTCTTTTTAATTTTCTTTTTTGTTGTACATCCACGATTTTTCCAAACATTTTGGAATAAATCTAAAAGCCTTTTTCCAGAAACTCTAACTGCTTTTCTGTGTAAACAATGTTATGATTTTTGAAAAAACTTTGGTAAAGGAGTTATTATCACGCATCTGGTCAATTATTTTTGCTTGATTAATAATTTGTTGAGCAGTATTAAAATTATTTGTTTGATGTCTAATACAACTGTGAAAGTTTTCTACATAATAATCATTAAAGATATGAAGAGAACTTTGAGAATTTCTGCCATTGGGTGATTTATATTTGCCAATAAAAAACGTCACTAAGAAATGCCAATGGCAACTTATTATAATTTTTGCGGCAGTATCGATAAAAAATTGTCCATATACGAAGCATTGCTTCTTCATAAACTTCCCAACATCTACTTCAAAAAATTATTGGGTAAAAATCCAAAACTAACGGAATTACATCATCTAGAAGATTAATGAACATACATGCTTCAGAGTATTTGCAATTAAAAAAAAAGATTTTTGACAGATTCTTTGACCAAAGACCAACCCTTAAATGCAGATATGGTTTTGGCTTTTTAGCAAGAATTTTGCGTGAGTTAAAAATTGCGTGATACATATTTTCAAAAAAACAATAGTCAACAAGAAATACAGTCTCCCAACTATTCAGAGATACATGTAAAGGACCTATAAAAGGTACTATATTAAGAATTTGTGGTGGCACATCAGATCGTTCCCCATTAATCATACGATGTACAACAGCGACGAACATTTTTCTGTCCAGGATAATCCATAGGGCAACCAAAATATTTCCTTCTAAATATGCATGTAGCTCTGGAATGTTGGCAATTAATTGTATTACTGAAATATAATCTTTTGTTGAATGTAAGCTGCCTTCTAATAGGTCAATTAGCTTTGTATTTTGCATACTTCGATCATTTTTTCGTTCAGCAATCCGTATATCATAGCTATGTACAAGTAAACGTTCAGTTCGTTCTTCATAAGTTTCAGGTAATCCAAACAAATTTGTAAAAGATTTTTTCGTTCCTGATAAGTAATACTTAAATCCTTCATATATTTTAAATTAAGTTGGGAAATTATATTACTGAAATCAACTCCTTTCGGATTTTGAATTAATTGATTGGTAACATTATTAAATGGAATAGCAGATACTTGGGAAGATGATTTCATAAGTATTGCTATAAAGTGTAAAGCACTGCTTGTGGTGGTAGTATCTGGTCGTCGTAAAGTATGAATATTGTGATAGTCATCAATGTTAAGAACAATTAAAATTATTTTTCTATTAAATAAAAAAAATACAAAAAAATAAAAAATGGAGTTAAAATTTAAACAATCGGCAATATTAAAAATAATAAAACAATTTTTATTAAGATGTAGAAATACAAAAAAAATACGTTGTCAATAATAATATCTTTGACAGTTTGCTTATGTAAATTAGCTAGCTGAATCTTTTTTTTTGAATAGTTTTTTTTCTCACTGTAAGTCCAGCATTTGACAAAGTATCAATTGCTGATACGGAAGTTCCTGATGCATTCAGCAAAAATCCTACATCCTCTTTTACGTCACTTATGAATTTATTATTGAATCCAGCAAAAGATAACACATTATATCGAGTTTTTTTTTTATTTTGTTGATTTGTTATAGGATTTTTCTTTTGGGGATTTGTACCAGCATAAAATTCATCAAAAAATCCTTGCAATTTTGGTTCTTCTTTTTCTAACATTTTTTTAAATTCTTCAGGATCATAGATTGGCTTTTCGTTATCTTTGTGTTGTTTTTTAAATAAAACGTTAGACATTAAACGAATTTTTTCGCTAGAAATTGAGGCTATAAGAAATTTTTTATTAAAAATTGAAATAAAAAAATTAGAATATAAAAAATTTTCATTACTTAACAAGTTCTCTCACTAGAAATTGAAACTAAAAGTTTTTTTATTAAAAGTGAAATGAAATGATTAGAAATATGAAAAGAATTCATACATACTTAATTTAATTCGCTTAAGTTCTTCACGAGCTTCATGATATAAATTTTCTACAATCATTATACTCTTTAGCTGAATACAGAAGATCATTATGAAGGGCATATGGATGATTAGAAGTGATTGTTGGCACCCTTTGCATCGGTGGTTGATAATTTAAAGATAGTTGGTTTTCTTTATCATGATCCATTGCAGTAAGACATGGGTTGCAAATACGTGTATCCAAAGGAAGATTCAAGATAGGTTGGAGTCGTTTTGGAATTTTTACAAGAATATTCTTTCGTGGTCATCCTATTTCATTATCCTTTGTATACTCTTTATGTTTAGGATGAGCACATTGTTGTTTCTTCATAGCTCTTGCTAGTCGATGATTTTCATTCACTATTAGTTTATTATAATGATATTGGCATAATTCTTCTCCAACCAAATCCATGCCAAGATTTGTTTCAGGAATCTTGACATCGTCCGTTACAAGTGAAGTGCCATTGATAAGGTCATCACACATACCATTTGTAATGAACATTTATTAAATTTAGACATTCCTATATATTACAAAACATTTAGTTATTAAATATAATATATGAAATATACAAAATTTGACGCACTATACCTTCCAAATTATTTGTTCGATAGCCTAATTATTTTTTATTAAAAGTTCTTTGTTAAATTAAATAAAATAAAAAGTATTATCGGTATTTACGCTCTATTAGAAGTATTAAAGTATTTATAACTTCTGAATTACTCTTTCGACGACTGAATTATTTTGTAAACCGTTTAAAAAGGACCTGAAAAAAAAATTTTTTTTTATTTTCTTTTGTGCTATTATCGCCGTTTTCAAAATGAAATTTGAATACCCATTAAGAATACCCGTCAGGTGATCAAAACAGCAAAATTGACCAACAAAATATTGAAAATATCGTATCATAATAAAACCATATAACCCATCAATATCCATTAAATTTTGATAGAACTTAAATTCTAAATATTCCAACATTTGTAGGATAGCTATATATAATTTCTCAAAACCATTTTAATTAATTTCAAATTATTAAATTATGTTAATAATTGTAATAATCAAAAATTTAAAATTACTTACAATATCTTGTTAATAGTATTAGTGTAATTGATTACAACTGTTATAACTAAAGAGAAAATGATATCTAAAAATAAAATAAGAACCTTACGGTTTAAAAGAAATACAAGAAATCACGAATAATCTCAATAATCGCAAATAATCTTGAACTTTGAGCGAAGGAAACTCAAAACAACACATAATAATTTGACTAAACATACCTACTAATGTAAGTATTGCAGGGAAATCTTGGGTAATTGCAAGAAAAGAACATAACACATATAACGAGTTTAAAATATTCGGCAAAAAATTCGGGGGGTTTTTTTATCAGATGATCGACATTGCGTACAAACGGCAATAAATTTTTTGTGGCACAATTAAATAAAATAGTGCGATTATCACATATTTCAGTATATTTTACGATATATTAGAAATCTAGCCAATAAAAATACATGTCCGTATATTACGAGTCTATTCATCAAGTAAATTCTTACATTTGTTTTTATTCTTTGGATGGCAACCCTCTCCACATGGTAATTTATTGCGCTGACATCCACATTGATTAGTGTTACACGAGCCTTTGCAATAACATTTTTGCTCAGTTATAGATGATGCACTTGACATTTCAACAGGCAACCTAAAGTTCAAGTCAATTCCCAGAACATATTGCTTGAGACATTGTTTAATCCAAGGTCCCGTATTCAGAGCGTCCTTTTCGTCAGTAGTAGAATATCTCTGCTTTTTATATATATCGTATAACTTTGTTGGTACAACGAAGTAAAAACCTATATTCTTTTCTGTTTCTAATTTACTTCGAACTCTTTTCAACTCATTAATTTTAATATTATGGTCCTTTGTAGTAGTCATTTGTAAGAGACAATTGGGAGCAATAATTGCATCTACTGATGGAAAAGATTTATCAAGTGGTATAGAGTAAGCTCCGTCTTGGATCTCATCAATTTGAGTAAATAAAATTAAATTATATTTTGGAAAAGTAATGACGTCTTCATCATTTGTATCTAAAGAACGACGTTTGAAAGACCCTCCATTTCGTAAGACTCGATGAGCAATCTGTTCAAAAAGACAACCAACGACTGGGTCACTTTTACCCCCTTTCATGACTGCATCCACGTCTACATGACATTTATCTATTATGCTTTTCTCTAATTCAAGAATCACCTGTTGGCCTACATAATCAGATGCAAATTTTACAATCGTATCCGTATAGTATTCCTCCTTAATAGGTTGATCGAGTGATGGATCAGTAGAAGGTTGATCAAAAAATTGCTCAGGAGGTTGATCGAGTGATAGATGTTGATTAAATATTTCGGTAAAAGATTGACTAGGATGATCGAGTAATAGACCAGTAGGAGGTTGACCGGATGATGATGATTCAATTAATGAACTATGAGGAGGTTGAATAGATGATGATGATTCGATTAATGGACCAGTAAGGGATGATGATGATTTGACTAATGGATTAGTAAGAGGATTAACATTATCATCACTGTTCGTCCAGATATGGATTAGTTTGTGACTAATGTCTTCTACGTCTCCTCCAATATATCTAAATATGCTCTCATCGCACGTCTTTATCGCTAGATTAAGCTGACTTTGAGTACCTTTCACAAGGGCACCCTCCAAAATATATCTAGGGATCCCTCCCCACTTAGTATATAACTCTCGAACTTTTTTTTCTTTAAGATTTGCGAAAATATCAGCTCTACATGTATTGATTTCATCCCAGGACCACGGCGGCATGTACCGTACGACTGGAATGCGTTTATCAAAAGTTTTATAGTGACTTCTATTTAGTGAACAAATTAGAATCGTTATGGCTTCAGAATCGTCTGGTGGGTTTCCATCTACAATGTACCAGACTTCCGGTTTTGACAAGTATATTCTAATTTCAACAGAATCATGGGATCTGTCAAGATATTTAACTTCTTCCACTGTTTGACCTAATAAAATAACAAATCTTTCCATAGTATGGACGTCGTATATAACCGTTTTACCTTTTTTCACAAGATCATAAATTAGATAGTAACCGAAAAAGGTTTTCCCAATGCCGGGATTACCAGTAAGACGGTAATCTCTTTTTCCATTCTTAATATTATCAATAATTATTCCAAGCAGATCATTGTAGCATTTGCGAACAAATAGCTTTGAAGGTCGACTTCGCTTTCCAAAAAATTTGATATCTTCAGACACCGTAAAAAACGGCATCTCTTTATCATATTTTGTAGTTTTTAAAGCCTGCCAAAAATTCCTCAAAGATTTTACATCTTCAGCGACTTCAGCGTCTGTATCCCCTTCAATTTTTGCGCGCTTTTTAGGAGGTTCTAATGGAAATAAATGTATGGACACAAGTTAATATTCAAATGAAAGAAAGAAAGCATGGAATGATACAATGAAGATAAAACGAAACATCAGCTAATAAAAAAAATCAATTCAGGTATGGCAGAGAAGACGAAAAAAATTAAGCTATATCTCACCGGTAGCAACGGTAGGAATTTGAACGAGAATATGTAAGCTTGTGGGGTCTGGTTGCGTACTAAAATAATCACTAACTATTTCTAAGATGTTCATTCCCTGAGCAATACTGAGATCTTCAAGTTTAAGCATCGCTATGACATTCTCGTCTCTGGTTTTTCCAAGTTTGATATCAACTTTGAACAATTTAAGAAACATTGTCGCTACGCCACTTTGAAGTTCATCATTGATAACTCTCTTAAGACTACTAATATTCTTACTAGTGTTAATTTGAACTGAAAAAATATCATCATAAGGATCTTCTCCGCAAACCAAGCAGTTTAGTGCTACAGAAGTCATGGCATTTCGGTTATATACTTGTAAAAAAATCGTAGTACGAATGGGCTGATTGATCGCAAACGGTCCATATAAAAATTAATTGTCGCACAGATTGATGACTAATCAGTTGATCAGTAAGTAATACAGACATCGTGACCGCAAACGGCAAAAGTATACCATAACATATCAAGATTCTCCTGCATATCTATCAAGAATGATATTTTTGCATCGCGACCCTACAACCCTAGCCATGGCAAAAAAAGCGAGAAGATTCTTCACGGTACTTTATTAATGAGCGATGAAAAAAATAGTGTTGTACAGCGCATCCAATGTACTGTATGTTTATGTTTATGGAGTTCTTCTTAACCAATCTGACAAATGATCTTATTAGAAAATGGAATATCTAGATACTCTGATTGAAACAATAAAGACCCATACTATTATTGGAAAATGATATATATACATTATACAATATTCCTATATTAGAAAAGGAAAAGAAAAACTAGCCTGACTCGACAGAGCACAATGGGGGATGATGTTGAGAATCGGAAAACTGCTGGGTACATAAATGGTAATGTAATTTAATGTTTTTATGTCATTTCGTTATATATACCATATATTTCTGCAGGACTTGAGTAAAGAGATCGACAATTCCCACTGAAAAAAAATTGTCCGATCTATTAAATGGAATTGTTCAGTTATCACTATTCTTAACAGATGATAATACAGGGATACATATTCCCTATCTCTTTGTAGATTGATCTAAAGATGAATCATAATCGAAATGAATTCCTCATTGCCTTAATTGTGACGCAGAGGTAAATACGATAAATACACCAAACTTTCTTATTGCAACGGATAAACAATATTCACATTTTTTTTATTCTTTAGATTAATAATTTAGAACACAGACTTTGTCCGTGCTACGACAAATATTGTAATGTCTGAAGATGATTATGATGAGACGAATAAAGAAAATATCACAAGGAAGTTGATAAGGTTGCCTTTCGCGTAGCTTACGACGCTATTCCAGATACTTCAAAGTTGTGGTTGAGTACGGGCAAAATAGTGGAGGATGTTCTTTTTGAATTTGCTAAAGACGTGGACTATGCAGTAAGTTTCTCGAAAATTATATTTTTTAATTCTTTTTATCTTATCATTAATGATATTGACATATTATTAGTCATGCCATTCCTGCATTGTGAACCATGACGATGAGAATGTCAAATTATTGTTCACCGATGTGGAGTGGAAAGAATTAACTGAAGATCGAATTGGAGTTCCACCTGGTGCAAATTACGGGAAAAACGTTAGAAGAGTTATGTATGATCGTGATGACGACGTATCATAAAGACAGAGAAACGTATGATGTCTGTAAACATTATAATAAAGAATGGATTCAAGCGGCTATGCGAGCACACTTTTTTGGATCATGCATTGATTTATGACAAAAATTAATGACGTGTCCGCCCGGCACGTGACTAAGTACAACAATAAGGCTATAACTTCCTAATGATGAAAAATTTTTTTGTAAATCCAGCTGACAGTTACCCGGAAGACTCTCTGGCTGCTAGACCTTCTAATACTAATCTTTAACCCTGTAATGAGTCTCTAAACAACTTAAAATAGTGGGAACCACTCCATCTCTTTCAGTATTTACAGGTGGCGGCCTAGTGCCGAAAGAAAAATACGGATCATTGTACTCGTCATCCATATCATTACGATACCTATTTTTATTACAAGGGGTCTAGTTTTTTATACCAGATAGTTCCCTTTGTTTATTAAACATATAGCTATAATTGTATTAGACATAGATGACCACTCTTTAGAATAAAATAAATAAATAAATAAATAAAATTTTTTTGTAAAATTGTTAACAAAAAAATCCAGTTCAAAATCTTGCAAGATTAAAAAATTATAATAATCAAACCATTGTTAAAACTTCATATCAAAAAATCCATTTTTTTAAAATAATAAATTAATTTACTTAATATAATTTAACATATAACAACATGTACATTTTATTTTATTTATTGAAGAAATTTTGTTCTATATTCATAATCAATATCATATATTTTTCGCGTTAATTGATAGTGGTTTAAATTGAATTAAAATTTCCCAGTTAAATTTTAATTATTTTGAATTTTTTATTTTCGTACACTATAACCTGTGGCAGTTAAATGAAATTTTGTAAAACTCGTGGCTTATCACCATAATGTATTATATTTGTACAAATATACTTTTACGTGGCTTATAGATGCTACTGTATGAAAATCGTGGCTTATTTATTAACGTATTACATAAATAATTAATTTGGCTAGCTATTGTGTTGGGTTTCGTAAACAGCGTCCTTGCCGTGATTGTTTCATCATTCAATTACATTTATCCGTTTTTAGTTAAATTTACCCTAATAATTCGCTTTCCCGCTCCGGACTCCCAACGGTTACCGTTCCCTAGTTTACATACAATACTGTGACCAAATGATTGGGATAACCATGAGCCTTTATTACGGCTTTTATCTGGTGTTCCATACTCTTGACAAGTTTGAACTCTTGCCCAAATACGACATTCAAGTTCATCCCGCAAGTGTTCTATCGGGTTAAGGTCTAGACCCACGAAAGCTGAGTTATTCCACTTTCTTCTATAAAAGCTCATATTCTCAAACTTGTATGGATTGGTGCATTGTCTTGCTGGAAAAAAATATTCTCCATTTTCCTCTTCAAATTCTTATAAAATGGTATTAAATGGTTGCCAAGAATCTTTTCTATGTATCTTTCACTATCAGCCTGGTCATTAATTCTTATTAAGGGACTCGAGAGAAATTGTATAAGTATTATTGACGATTTTAATATTTGCAATACCATCTCACTTTGTAGAACAAATCTATATAATTAAGTATCATAGTTATTGTCCGGAGCGAAGCGAAGGACTATATATGTCTACGCACTATGATGATCTATGGAAATAACGTGTAAATTTTCAATCACGTGAGTTTCTCTGTCCAGGAATTCCAAGGCGTTATGCTGCTAATCAGCAGAAAATTACCGGAATTCCAAGGCGTTATGCAGAAAATTACCGGAATTCCAAGGCCTTATGCTGCTAATTAGTAGAATATCGCTACATCTTTATTTATTATACCTCGCTCCGGACTTACAACGGTTCCCGTTTCCTAGTTTTATCTACATTCTACAGTACAAATCGAATTGCGTAATTTATTTTTTTATTTTTTTTTTTTATAAACTCTCTTTATCTGGTATTTTAATAATTGATGATGGTCAAAATATCATGTGCATCAGGTGAAGCTTAAGGGCGATAACATATATTACCTAATATACTTTAATATAAATGCACCCCCACTCCCAGGTAAGATTAATTACCTTATATAGTAATAAATATAACCTAAGATTTATGGATACCCCCCCTAAAATATTACCTAACATATGTCATAGCCCTTACACAGGATAAATCACGGCACTTCGAGCCGGATTTACCCAATATAGTATCAGCATAAACCGATAATTAAATCGGTCTATACCGATGTCGACATAAAATATTCTCACAATTTAAATTGGGTCTTTAAGACTATGTACAGTACACTAGTACAGTATATACGGGATTACTTTTGTCGTATAATCATATATTATATATATATATATATATGGTACTTTGAAATTTAAATAAATCCGTATATTATCAATTATGCAATCTGAATTTGATTTATTGAGAAAATGCTCGAGACTGGAATGACGAAGTTATTGATTTATAAGCGTTACTTATGAAAATGATTAACTCAAAGAGAGGGTTAGAAAAAAATAACCCACGAAAACAATCGCAAGATGACAATTTACTTAGTGTTCGCCCAAGTAATACTGTTTGCTCAAAAAGGAGCGCCGCTTCATGAATTAGAAACTGGTGATTACTTTGCGAAGTTTCCGAAGCAAATCTATGCAAAAAAAGACTCTAAAGTTCTAAGATTATTAACGTTAATCCTACAACTGCTATGAAAGAAGTTAATGGATTATCATCGATAAAGTTTTTTGGACAATATCAAAATTAACAATACCTTAATTTTCCTTAAAAATAAATTATTGTACAATTCCACATTGGATAATTAATTAAATTAAATATCTAATTAAATATCTGTCAAGAATAATTATTCCTAAATTCGACTCTTAATTCTGTGAATCTTTAATCAATTAGTAAAAATTTAGTATTAGTTCCCACGCATCATTAAAATTAATTAAGTACTGTACTACAGTTCACAATATAAACAACGCGTGTACAGTATCACGTGTCAAGAATGACGCAAAATCGCGATTTAGAAGAAATTTGAATATCTGAATCCGAATATCCAAATATTTGTTTGATACCTGCCTTCTTGAAAATAAAAAAGGTAATAATTAACAACATGATTGTTTTAATAAAATAAAAATATGCGCTCTTGCAAGTTATCAGCATAGACTTGTCAAACATGGAAATAAGTTTAATTTAGATATATAAAAGTAAATGTAAAAAAATGGCGTAACGGTAAATCAAGGAAACAATTGTAGTGAGCGTTAATCTCATCTCGATTGCGACTTTTTGTGGAGATTCCCAATATAGAAATAATAAAACAAAGAAACATATTGTGTATTGTGCCGCGAAGAGTTTAAAATAAGTATGCTTAATAATGAGAATTATTAATTTATAAATACTTTCAACTTGTTCTTAACCTTGTATGATTAAATGAAAATCAGAAGAACTGATAGACATTTTAGATTTTCAATAACTTGTTTATTTTTTCCGTAATGCTATAAAAAGTTAATAAAGAAAAATGAGAAAATTACTTTTTCCAAAGTCTAGCAATTTAAAACATATGTTGGTCATGTGTTATCTGGCGGATTTGACTCGCTTGATGATCGGAATGTCGATCATTTTGGCTAAAATTAACGTTAATTTTGGCCAAAATGATCGACATTTCAAGGACACTGGCGCTGTTATAAGTGGAAGAAACCAACCAAATTTAGCGATTAAAGTACCGGGAAAAGGCGTTACGGCATTACCATTTATCAGTCGTCCCATGAAGATTATGATCAACCAGCAGATGAAATTTAATGAATACAAACTAAGACGTGCTACGACAGGAAAACTTTAATGTTATTTTTAAAGAATTCGTGAACAAAAATCGTAAGTTTCTCTCCAAGTGAATTTCAATCTGCTTTTTGTGTTTTTTGTAAAAGAAAAAAGTTTTACTCATTAATAATTCCAAACGATAATCAAAGCCGTTCATAATAACTTTAATTTAAAATTCGTAAAAGGAATGTTACAAATTATAAAAAAAGGATGCAAATAATGTAAAACCGGAGAAAATCTTTAACCGATTAGGATTTTCCGAAGTTTTGATGGAAGTCCTAATAAAGTTATTTATGATGTGAGATGCAGATCTGGAGAATAAATGTAGATTGTCCTATGATTTCTAAAAAACTATTAGTAAATTTTCTTGATAATGTGACTAATTCGGCAAGTTTCTTTCGCACGATAATATCAGGATCAACAATAGTACTAGGGGACTGACCACTAGTCCTAACCAAATTGCGATTATACAAGAAAGAGAAAAATTGTCCATTACCGTGAAGTATATAAAGCATGTAGTTTTTTTTCCTTATCCTCATTTTTTTTTTAAAAAAAAAAATCTCAACTATCCATAATAAAATTAACCGAAATAATGGGTAGCGTTTATGTATACGTATGTGGAGGGCTATCTGCTATTGGTAATGTATTTTGTAATTTGAATTTTTTTTTTTCGAGATTAATTTATTTAACACTATTTTGGTTTAGGGGGTCTACTTTTTGGATATGACATCGGTAAGTAATTTTTTTATTTATTTTTGTTTTTAAGAAAATAATATTGGCTTAATTTTTACATATTGAAATGTTGTTCTTTTTCCACATGTTAAATAGGTGTCATATCTGGAATTCTTACTATGCCTTATTTTCGTAAGGAATTCCCTTCTGGACCAGCAAAAGAAGGATCAATTGTGGCATCGCTTTTAGCAGGATGCTTTTTTGGTATGACAAATTAATAAGGTGCAGTAATTCTGCGGTATGTTCGATAAAAACTGATATTGATCTCGTGATTTATAGGCGCACTTGCGGCAGGATATTTGTCTGATAGAATTGGTAGAAAGTACTCAGTTCTTGTCGGATCTGTTGTATTTGTTGTCGGTGGTATTTTGCAAGCATCTTCTACGACATTTGCTCAAATGTATACGGGAAGAGTTATTGCTGGCCTTGCAGTTGGGTAAGTATATAAAGATCTCTACATAACTTAGAAATTATAATTTAATATTTTTACATTTTATATTTTATACGCTTTGATTTTAGTGAACTTTCTATGATCGTACCCTTGGTAAGTAGTAATTGAATTAATATTTTTTGTGCAGCTACATATTTATTCGTATAAATCAAAATAATGTTCTTATAAATTTAAAGTATCAATCCGAGATCAGCCCAAAAGAAATTCGTGGGCGTTTGGTATCTCTTCAACAGTGGTCGATTACTATAGGGTAATTTCATATATATTTTTATTTTTATGTAAATGTATTTCAACTTTTTTTTGAATTTAATTTTCTTTTTTTTTAGGATTGCAATTTCATTTTGGATCGATTATGCCACACTTCAAATCGATTCGCCTCAACAATGGAGAATTCCATTATGGATTCAAATTGTTCCAGCAATAATTCTTGGTTAGTAAATGATGATTTTTACATTCTTCTTTTGGTTCATTTATTTAATTATTTTAAGCGCATATTTGATGGCTGTCCTTCTTATCATTATGCTATGTATTTTTTTCATTTAAAAGTTATAGGAACATTTTTTCTCCCATTTTCACCACGTTGGTTAGTTGATCATGATCGGGATGAAGAAGCAATAACAGTATTGGCAAATTTACGATCCAAAGGAGATAGAAATGCAACAGTTGTACAAGAAGAATTTAGGGAAATTAAAGAAACTGTTATATTTGAGCGGGAAATTGCTGCAAAAAGTTATTGGGAATTGCTTAAAGTAGGACCTGAAAATATTCGTAGAAGAGTGTTGTTGGGAGTTTTTATTCAGGCTTTTCAACAGTTGACCGGAATTAATGCTATTATGGTAAGGATCAGCAGAAAAAAAAAATGGAAAAAATTTCGATAGCACAATTTAACTGTGAAATAATTTGTAGTACTACGCACCTCAAATTTTTAGTAATGCTGGACTTGCGGATAATTCATCCAGACTTCTTGCAACAGGAGTTAATGGTAAAGATTATAATTTAGAGATTATATTAATAATTTAAGACGCGATTTTACTTATATTTATTTTTACAGGTCTTGTCAATATGTTAGCAACAATTCCTGCAATAATTTGGATAGATCGTTTGGGACGTAAACCTACTCTGTAAATTATTATTATTATTATTATTATTTTTTTAAAAAAAAATTTTTATTCATTTTACACTTTGAAGTAACAAAGTAACTAAATATACGAATATATTTTTCTATTTAAGAATATCAGGAGGCTTATTAATGGGCTCATCAATGATAATTATAGGATCTATATTAGCCACACATGGAACAAAATATTTTGATGAATCGTTGGGAAAACATTTTGTATATTTAGACAACAAAGGAAGCTCCTATGCTGTTATTGTTTTTATATATGTTTTTGTGGCTAGTTTTGCTTATTCTTGGGGCCCGGTAAATATGCTAATTAATTAATTCTAAACCTAAATTGTGTAAATTATCTAACTATTATCATTCATAGACTGGATGGATTTATCCTGCTGAAATTTTTCCGTTACGGTATATTTGTTTATTTATTTACATTTATTTATTTATTATACGTTTGACTATTATATTGATAATGTCGTAAATTATTAGCATTCGAGGTAAAGCTATGTCAGTAACAACAGCTTGTAATTGGCTATTTAATTTTGTTATTGGACTAGTTGTGCCAATTTTATTGGATAGGTAAATATATATAGTATATTTTTTTATTCTCTTTATCTTATTTTTTACTAATAACCAACTTTATTTTTGTCATATTTATATATAAAATAGTATTATATGGGGCTCTTATACACATCTAGATGTGTATAAGAGACAGGTATTATATGGGGGTAAGATTTCTACTAAATTTTTTTTTTTTTGTCGTATCATTTTAACTCTAACGATTTATAATATTAATTGTATTCATTTTCTCATTTATAAAGTACATATTTAATCTTTGGAATTTTTTGTGTATTAATGGCAGCTGCAATATACATATTTTATCCAGAAACAAAAGGTAAATCATTAGAGGAGATGGACAATTTATTTGGCAACGTGCAAAAATCAAAAAACTTGGAAAAAAATGAAGGGGAGCTTGAAGCAGCTTGAAGCAAACAAAAATGATCGTAGAGAAACGGCTAAACGTTAAAAGTTATTATTACTATTATTACTAACTTTTCTTATCATTTATTTTAATAATATGTATATTATTTATTGTGTACCATTGTTTATAATATGGTGATACTGTAATACGTTAGTGATGGTCAAATTATTTTTATATTAAAAAAAAATTGTCACATTGTATGTATTTTAATAAATTTTATAATTGTAGCTTTGACTTAAAAGTTCCAAGCTAAATTTGGGTAAAATTTTATTATTTCCCAATATAGTTTATTGCGGGATTTTGATGACAGTAAATTCGTCCAACGCTAACACTCAACGTAATCTCAGTATTGGATAGTCATTGTATCTTGAAAGTACTAATAAAATATTGATCCATCATTATTCGATTGAAAAGGCATAATTATACTTGTTATTACGTGAAAGACTAGTTATGCAAATCCAACTTATTCTTGTTACATAAATGCATCATCTTTGATTTTCCTTACATAATCATAGTGATTGTGCACACAATCTACATATTGTTGTATTAAAAGAGTATAATTGGTGTTTTGGTCATGTTATAAAGACTATGAAGAAATTACCGTCATACAGATTATTGAGAAATTAATTTTATGATAAAAGTACAATTAAATTAGTATTTTATTTATTGTTTTTTTATAAAAAAAAGAAGCATACTTGTTCGTATTGGTATAAATTATAATACGAACTAAGAAAGAAACTAATAACTGTTTTTTAGTATTATCGATAATCGAAGGTGCACAAGTTGTGATTATTAAGAAACTAATGGATGTATCGTGTAACGTATTTAATCTGAGGATCCGTGAACAGCAATAGAAACATTTCTGGTCCCAGGCAACAAAAAGAAGACACGTAATTTACTTGATCAGAACGGACGAGATCATATCTCCAGGAGTAACACTTAGTATCAAGAAGATGAAGAATTCAACACGCAAAAGTGTAGTCATTAACTGTTTGTGTTTTTTAGCTTAAATTTTTTACTATTCTTTTGCAGTTGGCCGTTGGGTCTATTTATATATTTATATTTCCTACTTTGTCAACTGTTCCTGTGGTTCGGGAGATAGTTCGTTCGTGGTTTAGAGGCTACCCTATAAAAAAAGAATGTCCGGAAATTGTAGCTAAAAACGTCCGGAAAATGTTTATTTGTCTGGAATATGTCCGGAATATTGCAATATTCCGGACGTTAGAAAATTTCCATTTTCCAGAAAATGTCCAGAAAATGTCTAGGAGGGTTCAGACCCAGCGTCCAGAAAGTGTCCGGAATATTGCAATGTTCCGGACGTTTTCCGAACACACGGACATTTTCCGGATGTTTTTAGCTACAATTTCCGGACATTTTTTTTTTTTACAGGGCTACGGTAATGGATTGGGCCATTGAGGGCCCTTGATTGCGATTGGTGATTTCAAGTCCGCTTTTGTATTTTTCCTTTCTTTTTGTAACCTTTCTTATCTCTTACAGGAATACTCTACTTATTAAACTCCCTGAAGGTTCATTCTGATAAGATAAAGAACCTGAAAAATACACTTTTATCAAGAAACTAGGGACAGCTTGATAAAAACTACTGTTCTAACGCTTTTTCTTTTTCTCAAAGAAGGTTGATCTTTAATTGTATTATAAATACTTAAAATTAAAAATTAATATTAGTATTTTTATAGTATTTTTATCCAAAATCTAAAGTAAGTAAACTATGTTAATAATAATACGATAATATTATGTTTCAATATGCATTAATCGATTCGGCCAAAAATATTCTTTTTTTTTAACCGTTTTTGTGGCACTGAACAATTATAAAAAAAAATCCTATAAAATAATTATACAGTATATATATTTTTGACGAAATTTAAAAATGACCTTCCTTTTTCGGGATACGGCAAAAATTGCCCACTAATTTTGCTCAAACAGAAATTTCTCCAGAAACTTCTGAATTTTTATCTAGACGGCGGAAATTTTGTCATTATAAAGTTCGCAACGAATATTCTAAAAAGAAACGAACAAGGTCGATGTTTATTTCGGTGACGATATAACAAAAACTTGTAGCGCACAATCACTACAATATGTTTATTTCGGTTAGATTTATGTAAATTTACGTTATCTAATTAAATTTGGATTTTGGACGTCATAACTTGAGGCTAAAATATCAGCAAATTGTTGCGCACAGTCGAACTTCAAAATTAAAATAGCGAAAATGAGTTTGTTTAAAAAGAAACGTTTATCCATGTACTCCTGCGCCTTATCATACACTACCGACTACCCGTGTCTATACATACAAAAACTGATGTTGATGATGGTCTAACGCAAGAAGCTGCCCAATGAATTGGATTATATGAGTTTAACGAATTATCAGGTCAAGGCAGCGTTAGCGTTTTTGCTGTATTATACAGACAAATTGTAATGCTCTAACATTTGTTTTGGTTATTGCAATGATAATTTCATTTGTATTTAAAGATTATGTAAAAGGAAGTCCGTATTTAAATATGCAAGCCGACTTATATGTATGTAACTTTTCCAATTAGTTAAAATTTAATAGGTGTCATCGTCTTTGTTATTGTAACAAACACGCTAGTTGGATGCATGCAAGAATATAGTGCTGAGAAAACCATGGAATCTTTACGTAGAATGGCTTCTCCGACCACAAGAGTAATTAGGGGCGATTCATTGATCTCCGTTTCAATTTATTTTATTTTATTTTATTTCTAGAAGAGGAGTGAATGTTATCTGTTACATTAACAACATGCGCAGCCTAGGCTACTAACAGCTATTCAGGTAAGTAGAACTACGTGTCTCATTCCACAAAGTAGAACCCCACCCTTCGATCTGAACTATACTAGAAGTAAAACTACGCTACAACTAGCACTAATTGATCTCCGTTTCAACCAGAGACATCGTAGTGTTTATGTATATTACGGACAAATCACATGATTTGATTTTTCGAGAAAATTTCTTATTAGGGTGATATTATTGTATTTGAGGAGGGTGATGTTATCGGTGCCTTTTGAAGTATTTAATTTGAAAGTGGACGAAGCACTATCAACCGAGAATCTGTTAAAGGTATTGTGTATACTGAGATGAAAATTGAAATCGGTAAAATTGCGAAATCATTGGCCTCTACCTCTGTTGTTAGTTGTTACATAAAGGATCATTTGGATTAGGATTTTGCTTTGGATTTGAATTAGGGAAACTCCCTTACAAAAAAAAGTATTATATTTATTATACAGATATTTCTTTTTAATAATTTATATGATTATACAAATAACAATGAATTGTGTGATGCGTTATGGAGTTTGGAATTTACGGGCGTGATCTATTTGATTTTTATGGATTTCACAGTGGGAATCGCACAATTAATATGTCTTGTTGATAGAGACGAGAAGTCTTCCCGGTTAAAATCCGAAGCAAGGAGTAGTGTGGTGGAAAGTAAAAATGGTGAATAACAAAGACAAAAAGGTTTATCAAATGTTGTTTAATCGATTAATAGATTAGGAATTCATGCTTATGAATTATTCGGATTAGCGATTATTTTAGCTATAATCGTATTTAGCGTAAATAAATGGAAAGTGAGCGATGAAGTTGCTATTTATGCCATTTCGCTCGTTATTCCCGAAGGACTTATTGCTGCGATAAGTGTTTAACTTGGATTAATTATGAAATAAACGAAAAGATCAAATAAAATGTCTTTAATATTTATGATTTATTATATTATATTTTAGATTACATTGACTATGGCTTTGGGTGTACGACAAATGGCTAAAAATTATGCTATTGTCCGTAAATTAAATGCTTTGGAAGCCTTAGGATCAGTTATGAATATTTGTTCTGACAAAACTGAAACACTACAACTGAAACTTGGCTTCCGGATGATGGTTCCTACAGAATTTCGGGTAAATGGGTTTAGTCCGAAGGAAATATTTATCGATGTGGAACAAATGAAATTGTTGAAGGTTAACTAGTAGCTCCGGACAACATGGGATTTGCTTTTACACACTTAGTTCAAGCTTCAGCACTTTGTAATATGATCGTCATTAAAAAGGGTAAAAGTGAATCCAATAATGAATGACATGCAATTGGAGATCCAACCGAGAGAATTATTTTTTAAGCCTTTGAAAGGAAAAAAGTTAATTTTCTTTACAAACTTTTTTTGGCAAATCACTTTTTTTTTATAGTCTGCTTTTCAAGTTTTCGCTCATAAAGCTGGATTTCCAAAACCGATCCCCACAGCAGAACCATTCAAATTTGAACTGGTTCATGAATATGCTTTTGACACTGGATTGAAGCGTATGCAAAGAAAAATCTACAGAGTCAGTATACAAAAATTCAACTTGGTGAAAATGATATCATGAAAAGTTTGAACTTGAATAATTATATAATGAATTAGAAAAGCTTGCAAACAAAGGATGGTAATTATCGAAAAGAATCATTTTGGGCAATTTTTATTTTTATTATTTTTTTATTAAGAAAATTGAAATGAAATTTTACTGTTACATAGTGTGTGTTATCATTGGCATATCGTCGAGTTATTAAACAGATGTTGAAATATTTATGACCCGAGTCCAAAGCTGCTATTCAAAAATGTTTTTGTGCTGGAATTGAAGTCCATATGTTAACTGGTATTTTATTTATTTTTTTCTTTAGTAAAATTAATTAATTAATTAACGTTTAGTTTATCATTATTAAATTGTTTAGCTGACCATCCTACTGCTGCTGCTGCTATTGCAAAAGAGTTATTAATGCTCCAAAAATTTATTTTATTGAGCGGTAAGTTGTAGTATTCAATTTTAATTTAATTTATTGAATAGTTCTTTATTAATTCTGCTTTTTTTAATAAAGGAAATGCTGCGGTCTCTCTTTCTATGATCGAGATGGTATATCAATTAATCCTATGCCACCCCTACAAATTCTTTTCCTAAATATGGTTTCAAGTTCGCCGCCAGCTATGGGATTAGGAATTGGCTGGACGTGCATCTAGTGACACTATGAATTATCCACCATGTTCAAAAGGTGGAATTTTCACATGGGAACCATCGCTATAGCTAAAAACTTACCTCCCAAGATATATTTATAGTTTTACAAAGATATATCCAGTAGGCCGGGTAGACTACGCAATCAAAAGCCTTGAAGACCTACTTTGCATCACTGAGGGGAAACCATGCAATATCAAGATTAGATATGCCGGGTAAGACTGTTCATCTTCTCAGTCCATTGGCTTTGAAATAAGAAGACTAAAGGGTGATGTATTTTATCCAGACAAATAAAAAGAAACGGACTGCGGATCAAGCATTTGGTAATGACTATTTTGATTACATGACCACAGGTACGGAGTGGCATTTTATCATATATACTCCAGATGGTATTTACTCCACGAGCGGTTAGTGAGTACCAGATTAATCTCACGAAATCTGCTGTCAAAGAAAATCCAGAATTACTTCGTAGTAATGTGAAAGGATAACCGGCATCATTGCTGGGTTGTTGAAGGATCGGGTTAGTGTAGATAGTTCCCCAGCTAGCATGAGGGCTAGAATTAAAAAAATATCATCAAAAAATAATATGTATCACTGGCAGAGTCCCGAATCTTTGTAATATTTTTTTGCGTGTCATGTCTCCGGGCATGTTACTATCATATTAATAAAACGATATTCGAATATAGATGCAAAGCGCCTTCGTCTATTTTTGGCAAACATTATTTCGCATGATGTGGTTATGGGGATGTGTATGCTAATCTTTTGGCCATTTGCAAGGGGGATTTACAAAATGACGAAGATTCATAGTGTAATCGGCACCAAGACGCAAGCGTAAATCGGCATCTGCATATCAGATACTGTATGTAGAGTGATAGTATTTAGTTAGGTTACTATCGAGATATTTCCTAATAACCAAAACGGCTTTAACCTGAATTTCATATGAGATTTCATTCAAACGGAATCAATAATATTGAATTCATCTATTCGATCTGCGAACTAAAACGATTATGCATATCTTCTTTTAAATTAACTTCAATCAAAAAGGATTTTATGGAGACCAAAGAATTTTTCCCCTTATAAAAAGTAATTTTGAAGTCATTAATAGTTACTTATTTCTAACAATTATTCTTTATAAAAGAGACTCAATTGCAAAGAAAGTGCTTATTTTTTTCATACAAACTAGTTCCTGAAAATCAGGTATCAGATTGAACTTCACATTTTTCTAAATCTTGGCGAATTTTGGCTAAAATTAAATCTAAAATTTCTTATTTCAAGTCTCAAAAAATCATGAACCGAAATTTTATTTTTGTATTTATTTTATTGACTACACTTTCTATAGTCAATTCTATTCCATTTAATAAAAGAAAAGCTGATTTTTACCCATGTCGTCAAGTAATCAACCCATTACCCGGAGTCGATGTAACAATTTCGCCTGACCCTCCAGTTGCCAAGACCCCCGAACATTTTACTGTTTCAGGAACATTGAAGCATGATATTACCGCAGATAAAACCTTGCTAAACATCGATTTTTTTGATGGTTTGAGATTTGTTTCCATGATAACCCCCTACAATAAGAAATTTACTGAATCAGTTAAAGCTGGAACCAAATTTTCTATAGATGTAGATAATGTTCCAACACCAACTGAATTACCTTCATTCTATGCTATTTTTGTTACTGTTGGAGAAAAACTCGATAAAGATGGTAACTTGAAAGATGAATTTGGCTGCTCACTTGCCGAATTTTCTGCATAGTTTATCTATTCAATTGCTGAGTTTATATTCTATTTCTAAGCGTTCATACTTCATATTTCGCTACATAGTAGACATCAATATTATGTTCATTTTTTTTTTAGTAATATTAACTACAAAATAACATATAATATAATATATTTATATTAAATTTATTCTATTTTATTTTATTCTTGATAAGTAGTTTTTAATGTATGATGTATTTTCCTTATTTGTAATTCTAATTATAATATTAAATCTTTTTTAATGTGAAATCATATCGGCACGAAAAAAAATTTTCATCAAAGCAAACAATTTCCGTTATTTAACTAATTTAACTGTATGCGAAGAAGCTTAAATTACTCTATGCATCGTAAAATTATAAAGGATATTTTTAAATCTTTTATTATTAAAAAAATGAACTTTTTACTCAGACTACCCAAGCCGTATTATTATTTCCTTGTTTAAAAAAACCGACAGCAGTTTGAAAGAAGCGTTGACGAAAGAATTATTGAAGCTCTGGCGAGACATTACGTGATTCAGATATAATTTTTTTCGGAACATTCACAAGAAAACGATTTCTAAGCCTGCCGACTGATGCCTTATTTTTTTCGTACAGATTTCCGAAGACCTTATTAGCATCATGGAAGTGCTAACAAAATAAATCCTCATCGAGGCTTTACTAAGGTTATGATGCTACTTTATTTCTGGTATTGCTTGCATCACTTGTCTTATATAGCTGACAATTTTTATTTTATTTCTATCGATGATTGAAACAAATGAAAGTTAATGTTAGGATATTGTGTTAGTACTTAGTATAGATAGCTTAGATGAAGGAAACACCCGCAGACATTAGCATAGAAACTTTATTTCACTTTATAAAACAAGTTTATGCGAATCTTGTAATTTATTTTTTACATCAATAAATCAGTAATTCCGATGAAGATATTACCCCGTTTTTTTATTTATGCTAACGAACTTTTGAATTATTCCATCTTTTATAAAAAAATTATTGTCGAACATGCAATCCATTGATTCATTGAGAGAATTAAATGCCAAGCTCTTAACTGAGATTGCCGAGCTTAGGAAGGAGAATGCTAAGATTTCTGAACTTGAAAAGGAGAATGCTGAGCTTAAGGATAAGAATGCTAGCTGGGATCCCTGATCTTAAGACCGGGATTGGCGAGCTTTTAAGACAGGCTGTGGATCCCTTTTCGGGTCTGGTACGAAATCCCGAACTCTAATGCTGGTCAAACACATCACGTGACCCCACATAATTCTGCATAACGCGGGCCATTTGTCGGGATTTCGTGATTTGGGATTTTGTACGGATCCCATTTTTTTTCAGGGTGCCCGATTAGTAACTAAAAAATGGCCAATCATGCAGGGTAAGGTTACCAATAGGTATCAATAGGGTAGTGATTATTGATATGGTTTATTATGGAATTGTTAGTCTTTAGAAAATTTCGTAATTTTCGTTATTGTAATTTATGCTGTAGGTAATGGCAAGGGTTTGGGCAAAACTGTAATTCTTCACCATTTGGACCTGAATGTGCCCCAAATGATAATACATGTGATTCAGCAGCATTAGAAATTGCATGTAATCAAATTTAACGTGCCAGAGCTACCACATTCGCTACAATTACCTAATTCTTTTTAAGAGAAATTTTTAATTTTTCTTTTGAATTTAATCTAATAATAGAAAGGAAAACAAAGGAAAAGTGTTCAAGCAATTAGGTATTGGATATGAATGGGGTTAATAGTTGGAGCTGAGATTGTCGACATAAAAAATCAAAATAAAAATCTTTTGTAATTTTTTTTAAAAGTTTTATTGAAGTAGTGTTCAGATTACGTTGTGTCGTTTGCGTTTGCAGTGTTGTCTGTAATTTTTTTGTGATGCTGAGAGGAGCATCCTTACCTTAGAGACTTAGACCATGTTCCATATTCTTATCCTGGTTCAGTGAATTTAATTGGAAATATTTTTCGTGGAACTTTTTACAAATTACAATATCAACAAATATTTATTGCTTAATGGATACACTTTTAAAGTTATTACTAGGAAACAGGAACCGTTATACAGTCCGAAGTGCCGTTTCTGATTCCTGAAGTCCGTTTACTTAGAAATGTATCAAGAGCGTAACTTTTGTAAAATATGCATCAATAACGTAACTTTTGCATCACCTTTCGTATTCAACAGTATATCTGTTAAACTCAACCAAATACAATAACTAATAATATATTTCAAAAATATAAAATTCTATTTAAAAAGACAAATGTAGTATTAAACTACAATACACACTAATGATGAATTTTTTTTAAATGTACATGATTATGAGAAATATTGCAAAGAAATTATAAAAGTGTATATATATACAGTATACTGTATATAAGAAAAATATAAATTAGACACACCTACTTTCTATTATTAGGTCATCAAATTTTGACTAGTCTAAGATAAGCATCGGACGTTTTATATACGTGATTTCATAAAGAGCGATAGTTCGGAAATGAATAATTTGTGTGGCAGGGCGATTCGACTTCGGTGACAATAAAGTTTAGTTTCACCATTTTCGTTTTTGCGAAATTTTGTAGCTAAAGTTTTTTGTAACAGTCTTGTCTTTTAATCTTTATAATCTTTATCTTAAAATAAAAATAAATAACAAAAAGAATTTGTCATAATGATTTTCCCGAATGAGTCAAGCACGATGACACTGGATGTGCAAGTGTTAAAAAGGTTGAATTTCAGAAGATAACGGGTCGCTGTGTTCATCTAGTAAGAGCTTTAATTTTCGTCGAAATGTTTCGAGGATGTGTTGAGATGTTTAAATGATAATTGTTCTCAGGGGTTCCAGGCTTGGAATGTAGTTTGGAATACCTTGAAGAATTTTACCGGTAGGGGAAGACTTTTGATTTGTAACAAAAAATTTGATAACTTGATGTGAATTAATCAAAATCTGTATGAAATCCCAATCTATGTCGTCATTTTTAATGATGTGAGGTAAAGGTGAAGTCTGTGATTATTAAAAAAAGAGGCAAAAGTTTTTGTTTGAGTCGGAATATTAGCCTATTTTTATTACGATACTTAGCCTAGAGGGCCGTTGGTGTAACTATATCGTTGTCTTAGTCGGTATAAGATATTAAATAAGTTTCCATATTAAAGCGCGAATGTTAATTAGTCTCGTGATTAAAGTATTGAAAATTTATCTTAGACTCCGGGTTTAAGTTATTATCCTCGGCCTCGTGTAGAAATGATTTTTTTTACTGGATGATAACCTAAACCCTGGGTCGTACAATTTGCGGTGTCAGTGAAAATCTTTGTGGATGCAATCTGAAGCCCATTATACATTCAGGTGTGCCAACTACCAAGGTTACGACTTACGAATGATCCGTTTATGTAAAAAATAAATCGTGAAAATTAAAAATTATTTTTATTGATTTTTTTTTTATGAAAGGGTCATATTTAAAACTATCTTCGAATTTAAGTATTATAATATCGGAAGAAAGTTATTAGTCAATAAAGTTAAATTAGCTGTTAGTAGATAAAAGAAACTTTTAAAATAACGAACGATTAAATTACGTGGTTTTAACAGGGAAAACTTTATGGAATAATACAAATGAAAGATGACTTTAAATATAATTAAGTAAAAATAAATAATGAATAAAATAAATGAATAATAAGAAATAATAAAGAAAATTAAATATTTTCTGCCTTGCCTCAACCGGAGACCTGCAATATATCCGAAGCAGGGACGATGAATGATAAAATGCCTGTGACAAAGGTAATTCTGTGAAATTTCCGCAATTTGGCCGGAATTACACAAATCAGGCGGCATTATGATCGCCAAATTAACGTCAACCGGCATTATGATAATTGCACCAAAGACCCGTAAAATTTTTTTATCTATCCAAAAAATTTGAATGATTTCGATTTTGGTAAGAATTAAAACTTCAAGTCAGTGATTCTAACTGGAATTAAGATAATCATGTGTTCATTTCTCAAATCAAAATCAGAATGCCTGTGGTAATTCTTTAATCACGTGATTATATTTTTCTTGATGTGATGTGCCGTAAAAATCTTTCGATTTCTTTTGAAAAATTGCTTTTTGAAATTTATCAGGCCAAAAATTTTTTAAAAAAATCATTTTATGACCCTATTTTGTGATTTACTCGAAAATTTAAATCTATTGTCCTTTTGATTTGATTGTAAATCACTTATTAGGTCAGTTTGTTTGGATCTTACGCCCAGATAAGTTACACAACATGAACCATGAAATATCAAATTTTGTATAAATTGGTTGTTCCCTTCCCTTAATTCTGTTTTCAAAAATGAAGTCGATAAAATTATCACGTAAAACATTATCATTTATATCAGCATTGCTAATATCATCATTATGCGGTACACAATATGCATTTTCAGTTTACAGTACGTCAGTTGCTGAAAGATTAGGATTTAGTTCAGTACAAATTAATACAATTGGGAGTTCGGCGAATTATGGATTATTTTTCTTTGGTCCATTTTTTGGTTATATTGTTGATACTTATCCATCGAGGATGTAAGTTATTAAGTTATTCAAAAAATATTTTTTTTTTTTAGTTATGTAATGATAAATATGATAAATTTAAATTTAAACTAATTAGTGAGAGATATTGATAGAATTCCTATGTTGGCGTCTATTACTATATTTACTGGATATTTTTGTCTTGCAATGACTTATCAGGGATATTTTCCGAATTCATTTTTATTATGTGTGTTTTATCTTTTGCTCACTGGAATTGCTTCTTGTGCAGCACACCTTTCGAGTATGGGTACTATTGTAAGTAATTTATACCTAATTAAGTTATTCTATCACTTTAAATTAAACATTTATTTGATTTTAGTCTGCGAATATAAAATCGTATCGTGGAATAGCATTTGGTGCATCAATGGCTTTATTCGGTTTAACAGCATTTATATTTTCTCAAATTAATTCATTATTTTTCAGGGGAGATACATATCATTTCTTATTATTTACAGCAATCACGACGGGAGTATTTATTTTTATTGGAAGTATATTTTTAGTTAGAGTGCCACAAGAAGAAAGTCATGAAGAAATAATATCACCAAGTGAAGAAAACTCATCAACATCATCAGCCTCTCTTAATAATGAAGAACGAACTCCTTTATTATCTAGGCATGAGGAATCTGATGTTAGAGGACGGGAATTATTTCAAAATATTGACGCAATGATACTTGGTTTAACATTGTTATTGATCGGGGGTGTAGGATTAATGTATATGAATAATGTTGGTGCAATAGTTAAATCGCTTTATCTATCTACTTCAACACATCCATTATTAATTGATGAAGAGTATTTCTCATCATCACTTCCTTCTGATCATGATTTAAATAAAATTCAGGAGTATCAAAATTTTCACGTTACGTTATTATCACTATTTTCATGTTCTGGCCGAATTAGTGTAGGATTAATGTCAGATTTATCCAAAAATATGTATAATGTAAGAAGATTATGGTTTTTATTAGCCGCTAGTTTATACATTTTAATTGGACAAATTTTGGCGGGGTTTATGATTAAAGACTTGAATCATTTGTGGATTAGCAGTACTTTTATTGGTTTTGGATACGGTCATTTATTCGGCATTTCTCCCACCATCACTAATGAATGGTTTGGTAAAATACAATTTGTTTTAAATTGGTACGTGTTTATATTGATATTAATGTAAAGTTTATTTTGTATATTGTGAATACTTTATTTATTTTTTATTTGCCTTATTACATTTTAGGGGCATCATGGCTTGTGTAAGTATTAAATAAAGAGGGGATGCGATTTTCACGGTATTTTTATAACCCGTGAAATCGGTCTCGTTAATAATTTTATTTTTTTTATTTTTATTTTTATTTTTTTTAAAAAAAAACTAATTTTATTTAATTTAATTTATTTTATGCTAACATAAGTTTATATCGTTCGGAGGACAGCTATTTAATTTATTTTTCGGATATAATTTTGATAAGCATAAAAATGACTGTTCAGGTTTAAGTTGTTATAATACTGCTTTTTATGTTAGCACAATCGGTAGTATGATTAGTTTATGCGTCGTTTCTACTTTACTATTTAAAAGAAGAAATCAAATTTAATTAAGGAGGTGATAGATTATATTTGATCTGATATTATTTAGGTTAAGGAACTTTTTGTTTTTTAATTTAAATTTTTTTTTATTTAGTTAGTATCGTATATATATACTATGATTATGTATATTTGAAAGACTTAATATTAAAATGTATTTGTTACAAATTATAATAATAAGAGATAAGATATAATCATGATTAATAAATGTTTAATTACTACTTATTTGAATTAAGATGTAACTACGGTTCGATATACTGATGAACTTAAAATTATTGATTAATATATAATAAATTATTACAATTATAGCCATTAACATGAAATACTTCATATTCATCTATATCGAATTGACCTGTATTGTCTCTTATTCGTGTCTCATAATTCTTCTTAACACATTTCCCTTCGTTTTGATCAAAACATAATAGAGCTAAATCAGCATTTTTACCACCAAAATTTGGGCCAACATCTTCACCATTAAAATGAGCACACTCCCCACTTTTAACTTTACTAAAAACGGAATTTTCCAAATTCTTTCTATCCAATGAAAAAATAAAACTTCTCCTGTCAGGACTATCACGACGATAACTATCATCCGTACAATCACCACCTTCAGAATACCAACTATATGGATTGAACCCTCCAATAATTTCATTTGTCTTTTTAACACGAGCAATAGTAAGAGTAGGTCCTTTTCCATCACAGAGATTATGAAAAGTTGATGTTGTGTAACCATCTCTACTACCACGAACAAGTAAAGTGAATTTATAAAAAAATATATCAAGTCGTTTAGAAATACTAGCATATACACTTGGATTTTCTAATATCTTAATTAAATTAGCAAGTAAAAATGCTTGTTCTGAATTAATTATTAAAGAATCAATATCTGTTCTACATTTTGAGATAATACTATCATCAAAAGAATAATATTCAAGAATTTCAATATAAAAATCACTATTTAAAATCTGTTTGTAAGGTTTAACTTTTTGAGAGAATTCATGAGGAGCAATATCTTTAAATTTGATATGTGATATAAATGGTTGAATTAAATCTTTTAAAGTAGAAATATTATCAGAAGTACAAATAGAAATTTCAGATGGTAATTGTTTAATTTGTGCAAATGCCCATTCTATAAGTTTATTCCATACTTCAATCGGTTTGAAAGGATAAATACTAACAAGGTCAAGGAAAATTTCTCGGTTAATGGTCGTAAAATCATTTGCTTTAAGCATGATCGTAGGATCTTCTTGAAGAGTATTTTTATAAAATTGTAATAAATTTGTAAAATGATCGAATTTGTTTACGGCATGTGTAATAGTAACAAAATTTTTTTTTAATAATTCTTTGTCGTTAAGAAGTTTTGCCTCAATAGCTGAACACATATCGTTAAGACATAAGTCATCAGCTGCGATTAAAAGGGCAATATTTGTTTTAACATCACTCGTAAAGTCGATAATATCGCTATATATATATCTAAATTTTTTAAAAATTTAATTAGTTACAATGCTTTTTTATCACATATTCTATAATAATAAACTTACTTAAAAATTATATGAAAAATTTCAACGGAAATATTTTCTTTTTGATATTTAAGAATGTTATTCTCTTTTTTTATTTTATCGCTAGATAATATATCCTTAAAATAATTTGAACGGTTTTTTAAGATTACTGAATGTAAACGAAAAATTGCAGTGTTTGGTTTTTCTCCAATTGTAATTTCTAAATCACAAAAAGCACCGGCGTCAACAATTTTTATTGATGAATCCGACATGTTCATAAGGTGAAAGGGGAGAGAAATAAACAATAATTTGAAGTTTAACCTAACCTTCTTATATATATTTTTTTTCTTAATTTCCAAATCAAATATTCATAACTAAATTAGTAAAGTTCAAATCATTATTTTTTCATTATGGTTTCCTTAAAAATCAATTAAATTAACTAAATTCGTATTTGTATTTCTCTCCCTGAATTCTTCGAAATACTTTGACTAATCAAAGTTGCATATCCGAAAAAAATCAAAGTGTTAATCTTGACTAAATTATATTGTTTTTTTTGTACAGCGTTGGCGTTTTTGTTTTGCAAACTAAAATTTTCAGCCAATAAAACACTAGTAGATATGCAATGTTTTGATATGTAGATAGATAATAAGACCATACAAACTTAATTTTTCGGTTTTCATATCGGGTTAAGCCGTTCCCATAAATGTATGGACACCTGGCAAATACTTGTCAGGTGTTCGGGTTGCCGGGTTCTCGGGACCCGTGATATACTGTATTATGTTTAACACGTGCAGTACAATACATATAAGCTAACTAAACTATGTAAACAAGTATTTAACAGCAGGTTTTTTATACATGGAATTTCGCTTGAACACTTGTCCAATTTGTCTTACTTGTTTGGATCGTAAAAATAAATATGGTCAAAATTGTATTTGTCAAGCAAGAAAAGTAGAATGGAAGAGGAAAAAAATCGAACGTGATTATATAGTAGATTTTATTCACAAACCTCTTACACAAAAGGGTGCTACAGAACAGAAAATTGCATTAATATGATGATACCTCCATTTCAGATTATAAACTCCCACAAATACAATCTACTTTTTTCTTTCAAAAGACTTTCTAAATATTTTATATCATTATTTGTAAGAATTCTTGGTCGTCCTCGTAATGATGATAAATCTTCCAAAGTTTTAGTAACGGTAGATTTGCCAATATTAAGTTGTCTTCCTATATGACATCCCTCCAAAATTCTTAACCAACAAAGATGCTTATTTAGTTGCACGTCATGATCAGCCGTCACGTGTTTTCAATTTACCGAGAACCCGACAAGTACTCGGCATTCAAATTTTGTCTGGCAATTTATGAAAACATCTTAAATCTCAAAAAAAATTTTACTATACCGGGTAAGATTTTTTAAAAGTTAAAAAAAAAATTTCATATGAAATTTATAAAATTTTTTTTTTAAAAAAAAATTAAAAGCCGGTTGCCGGGTCATTTTCAAAATTGTAAACCAGTTTATATGGACTAATTAATAAAATTAACAATTTATGAATTTATTATAAATCCAACGAATTATTACAGAATATAAAAATAATCATTATCTTTTTTTTTTATCAAAATATTATACATTAAATTATCATCATAACTATAACACGCGCGTATTTATATGTAAGAAAGTATCATTTGAATTATCTCATATCTGAAATATATAAAATTAACATAGTTACGCAAAAGTTTTGGCTCGACTTGAAATAAAGTTTATTACAATGATTTATTTAATTACGAGAATTAAATTTTGATTAATAATTATATCGAATAGACGGACGAGTTATTTATAACAATTTTTTTTAGAATCATATCGGTAATTAAGGTCAACGATAAAATTTTTTTTACAAGTAAAGCATCCGAAAACTACTACATCAGACAAAATTGATAGGATAAATACTAATGTTTTTTTAATACTAGTTGTTTTCTTTGAAGTTTAGTTTTCACTATCATCTATTGCTCTTTCTAAATTGTTTAACAGGACACTTTACATCGATGAAAATAATGGTGTCCATATTGGTCTCAAATTATTAATTTATAATGTAAAAGAAATTTGAAGGAAATCAGAAATCTGATATAGATATCGCAATTTATGGAAAAAAATTATTTTATTTAATTAATAGTATATATATAATGTATATATAATGTAGAGTTTGGTGAATTAAGAAATCGTTTATGTATATTTTAAGTCATAGAGTCATAGAGTCACTGAGTCACTGAGTCATTGAGTCTCAAAAATTTTGAAATTATTAAATTATTTGTTATACTTACAATCACAATGTATATCGCATGTAACGCATTTCGTGCATGTTGTTAAGCTACCACACTTTATGTAATCATCGTCATAGTCACGTTCAACGAACCCGCACTTTCGATCACCTTTAAAAAAAAAAAGTTAGCAGTTAGTTATTAGACATCGTTCTAGCATAAGACTAATGACTCTGTGACTCTGTGACTTATTATAAACTTACTCATGATTATAGGTACTTTTTTAAAATAAAGTAAGAAAATTGTCCTTAAATAAGAAAATTTTTCTCACCGATACTATACCAAATCTAGAAAGTTTCGGAATTTAACGTGTAAATTTTCAATGACTCAATGTGACAATTTTCTTACTTTATAGTTCAATATCGGAATTTAACGTATTCCAGTTACTTTTTACGATTGTAGCTTATGCTGTATAATTGATAATAATTACACGAAATATAGATACTATACTAATCTGGTAATATATTGTTCCGACGGGATCAGGTATAAATGGTAGCGATCAGGGATATCTGGATTATTTGGTTGGATAAACTCTTAATTGACATTATGCCCTATATACAGTAGATCCAAAAATTACAAATTTAAGAAAAGTCCAACATAATATTAGAATTACTTGTTAAATTATTTCTGAAGCTTTGATCGCAATTGTCTTTCATCATGGAAATTTATTACTACTTAAGTAACGGACAATAATGCAACTTACAAATATATTGCAATAAAAATTTGATCATAAATATTTGTTTAAAAATTTCCTTGTGATGTTGAAAGATTGATTGTTTGTTTCAGTTTTAAGTGTATTTTTTGATAAAGGCCCAGGTAAAGTGTTGAAATGCGTATAATAGGCTAAAATAATCATGTAGATTAGAAAAGAAAAATTAAAAAAAAAAATAAATTAAATCAAAATTTACTATATTAGCATATCTAAATTCTAAAGTTGAAAGTAAAGATGTTAGCCATAATTTGATTGGCTGATGCTATAATATAATAACATATAAAAACCGCGATCGGAATTACTAATTTATTGATGTAAAAAAAAAATTACAAGATTCGGTAATACATAAACTTGTTTTACAAAGTGAAATGTTGTTTCTATACTAACTGCTAATGTCTGCAGACCACACCAATTTTTCGCTTGCCTACGCTACTTCCAGAATATAAAAACGGTCGTATGTATGAGATATGCAGTGTCGGAATGTAATTAACCTTACGTTGAAATTTTATGTTGTTTGCAATCCATGATTCTAGTAAAACCCTCAGAAATCTGTACGAGAAAATATCATTACGGTAGTTTGCAAGTCCCGGAATCGTTTCCTTGTAAATGCACAGCTACAACTGCCAACTATTTTTATATTTGACATATTTTTTTTTTCTTATTGTGTATTTATGAACAAAATGAATGTGAAGAAAAAGGATAACTGAAACAACCGAAAAGAATAATTAAAACACATTGTTTTTTTTCAAGATCAGGGAAGAAGGAAAGGTGTAACCTTAATTGTCTCGTCCCGACTTCAATAATTTTTCGTCAACGCTTTTTTACATTTAACGAGTTATGTTCGGAGAGAATAGTACGACGGGCTTGGGTGGTGAGGAAAAAAAAGTGAAAATCTTACATCATAGAGCGCTACTGCTCTTTATTTGTATGCCACACTGATTAGTCAAATACGGTCAATCGTACGACCACTCGTACGATCTAAAAATTACATAAATACCGAGAATTCATCGGAGAATCAAAATCTAATGAACGTCACAACAAGCCACCAAAAGTTTATGCAAGAGTCACGATGGGATTCAGAAAAGTATATAAAGGAGATATATATACCCTCGAACTTTCAAAGTTTCTCAAAACTTTCCATTTTTTCCTAAGCTATGGAGGTTGAAAAGTCCGCGTTTAATACCTTGGTGATTTGAAACTCTATTCTCTGCGAATTCTTAAGAATGAGACGTTACGAGAATGAAAACATTGATAACGAAAACTTAATTGCGATAACACAAAACATTTAATTGATATAATGGAAGAACAGAACGGCGGTGACCCGTGACCCTATGATGAAGTCTGTTTCGAATACTGCGCATTTTTTCAGGTGATCGGCCTCACATGACTATATAGATAATATTTTTTTTACGCCTCTACTGTTAAACTTTTGTCCGGGAACATAAGAGCGTAATTCCAAGGGATCGAATGAAAGAGGAGTATTTAAACAAATAAAATCAAGTTTTCAGCGCTAATAGTCCGTTAATACATTTATTTACACAGTGAAATTCGATATAACGTTCCAGTAAAAATATCCGGTATCAAAAAATTTCGATATACCGGATGTTATATATAAACCATATGAAATTCCGTTATATTAAGTGCGATATGTGCGACGAACATTGAAAATTTTGATTATTTTTTATTTAAAACATTATTTGAGAAATGTTAATACACTGAAATTAACTAAACTTAAAAATAATCATCTATCCTACCATGTTTTTGCTTTTCTTACTTCACTATTAGACATATTTTCAATAAAAAAGTTCGTGATTTAAAGTGTGAAAAAAAGATTTCGTGTATGATCTGTTATTAATTTTTAGGGGGCTTCACATATATTAATATTTCCAAATAAACAATCTTATTTAGGAAATTCTATTTATATTACATCCTTATTAAAGTGATAAAGATTCTTTAATATTTTCTACATGCATTCCTAGTCAATATATTCAGAAAAATTTCATCTGAGTCTTCAAAGCTTGCGTATTCCACTAAAATTTCTAAAAGGTCATCACACTTGCTGCTAATTTTTATTGTTCCGGTAAATCGAATCATTTTATTATACTGATTCGTTATTTGTTCCGTTATAGCCATCCATTATCGAGATTTTACTAATAAATTCCGTTATATCAAATTTATTTTAATATATGTGATTTGGTTCCGGAAAAAAGTTCCGGTATAAGGTCAGTTACGGTTTATTGGGTTCCGTTATATAGAACTTTCACTGTGTATTTACTTAACTGGACGCTTTACAATGAAGAATAGTAATTGTTCATACTGAACTCAACTTATTGGAGGTAAAAAAAAATTTGAAAAAGTCCGTGAAACATATTTTTAAAAGTAAATTCCACAAATGATGGAAGTATAGAGTTTGTAAAAAAAAAGTAGTTGATAAAATATAGTCACTTGATTATCGCATGCGACGCATCAGTCGCATCATCTTTCAGTACCGGTGTCATAATCACGAAATTAATAAAACTAGGAAACGGGAACCGTTGTAAGTCCGGAACGAAAAACTAAAATTTGCCGATTTCATTGGGTGACGATCACGCGGCGGACAGAGAAACTCACGTGATCGATTTTTTTTTCATAGTGCGTAGACATATATTGTCCTTCGCTTCGCTCCGGACAATTAACCCAGCATAAGATTAACATGACTCTTGTGCGATATTTTTGAAAAAAAGTCTAAATAAAATTTTATCACTGGCAACATTACACAATTACCAATCAAATTGGTAAAAATCCGGTAACATATAAATTTTCAATGTCTCAACATGATGATAATTGTTTTTTACGGAGTATGAATACTTTTAATCTTTATTAAATTCTTTCTCAAAATTTAGAATTTTGTTAAAATTGTTAATGATAAAATCACTAATTATAAAATTCTAATAATATATTTTTATATGGCGCACGCCAGCGTTACGGTTCGCAGTTACATTTCGTTCCATTCCTAATATTGAAGCTTCTTTATAGAAGATAATAAATAGAATTTACATTACTGCTGTAATTTATAAATATTGGTCTTACACAAAATGCCCGAACTCTGGAGTGAGAATGACATACTTAACTGGACACTTTGTAATGAAAAATAATAATTGTCCATATTTGACCAAATAATTTCGAAAGAAAGTATTTTATTTAACTAAAAATATGTATATAATCATAGAAAGTTTGTAAAACAAATGTTGGATGATATAAAACTATTGTTTATATTTTACTTTCAAAGCATAATTTGTATTCACGCATTTAAGTTTATTTTTAAGTCACAGAGTCATTTAAGTCACAGAGTCATTAGTTTCAAAAGATTTTCTATTACTTACATTCACAATGTTCATCGCATGTAACGCAATTGTCGCATGTAGTTAAGTTATCACACCTTATAGTGTAATCTTCGTCATGTTCAACGAACTTGCACTTTCGATCACCTTGAAAAAAAAAAAAAAAAAGTTAGCAGTTAGTTATTAGACAACATTCTAGCATAAGACCAATGACTCTGTGACTCTGTGACTTATTATAAACTTACTCATTATAATTATAAGCACCTTTTTAAAATAAAGTGAGAAAGTTGTCTTTAAATAAAGAAATTTTCTCACCGCCACAGTAGTACCACACCATCACATAATTGCTTATCAATAATCAAAGTTTTTCGATGACTCAATGTGACAATCCCATTATCGGAATTTGACGTATTCCAATTACTATTTATAACCTAATTAATATTTATTGTTTCGAAGGTCATTATACTTTTAGGAGTTAGAATGAAAAATCGATGATCCAGTGACTGTAACTCACGTGATCATAAAAACCAAAAAAATTATAACTAAAAAAGACTTCAAAGATGCAATAAAACAAAACAATGTAAACCGACTATCGAAGACTAAAAGAAATTACTTACTGATAGCTTTTTTTACGTTACTTAATCATCGATTCTCAAGCATAATAACTGAACGACAAAAAAAGATGAGCGGCATAAAATCAAATTTACGTTTCAAAATATTATATATTTTTTTTTTAAAAAAAAAATAAATTGGATAGGATTAATACATGGACCATATAAAAATTTTTTTTTACTGCGAGTAAATCATTAAATTATGAATATTTATCTGTAAAGAACATTTATTTACCTTCGCCATTTCAATTTAATAAAGAATTTTTTTCGAGTTCTATAAAGAAGAAAAAGAATAAACAAGAAAAAAAGAAAAAATAAGTTGATCGAATTATTGAAACAATTGTAAATGTATACAAAGTCACATGATTTTTTTTTTTTTTTGGTTGAAACTAAAAAAAATTATTGAAGAACAAATCATGAACTTAGTTGTTGACATTGTGTAACATTTATTCATTGGGCGTCTATTGTCTGCGCCACAATAGTCAAATGTTAATTGTTTCCAAATTTATAAAACAAGAATAAAGTTTTACATTCGTATGACACAATTTACGTATTTGCGTGTAATACCCGAGAACATTTTGTTTTATTGCACATATCAGATATCAACAAATTATTTGATGAATATCTTTACAAAGGATACAACGTTATATATATAATAATAATGACAATTGTGGAAACATTGAAATACCAAATAAGATGGGTTCACAATTCACTCAAAATTTATATAGCATTAATTTAATGGAATTCTTAAAGAATAATATTAAAAAAGATTAAACATTGTATTTATTAAACGGAAATTATATACTTTCAAGTTTTATAAATAGATAAATATAGTTATAATCCGTGCGTATAAACCACCAAGTTAATTGTATTTATCGTATTTGGTATTTTATTGGTTGTATTCAAAGTTTATGCCAAATTTGTCAACATGAGGGCTAATTTTTTGAAGAGAGATAACTGTGCTTCATACCTTTTTGATTATATTAATAAATAAATCACAAGGTTATATCATTTGTGTTTGATCTTTGATCCTATTGTGTGTTTCAAAGTTGTCTCGGAGTTAATAATGCCGATTACTGCGACTGTTCCTGATATTTTTTATTTAAACTCATTCCAATTTCCCTTTTTTCTGAAAAAATCAAAAATTCAAAATGGCTTCTACACTTCCAACACTCTGTTTTGACGAGATATTCGGATATTTGCGTGGCGATACTCCTTCTTTGTATGCATGTGCCCTGGTTAACCGTAACTGGGGGTGGCATGCCATTCGAGAATTATGGCGTGATCCGCTCATCGTTGTCAAGTCTCCAAACCGTCGAGAAAAACTTTTTAACTTGCTTCTGTTATTCCTTGATGATTCTAATGCTAAGTCATTACGTGAACCATACCTGACATATATGAGAAAACTCAACTTTGCGGAACTTGTGAAAGCCGGTAAAATTCAGAATAAAATCAGCCTGAGATTAATTAAAGCGCTCTCTCGTGCGATCGTCAGCCATAGCAACAATCTTCAGGAGCTCGATAATGACCTAATCGCACCTCTCTTTCAGAACCGTCTTTATATAAAAAGAAATACATTGATAGTTCCACAATTCAACTTTTTTAAATTTCCAGGCGCTAATATTTCTTTTACCAATTTGAAGTGCTTATTCATTGACAACCTGAATGCTTATCAGATTTTGAAATCTGCCGTTAATATTGCTCCAAGCCTTGTTGAGATTACCATACGTTTATACTGCGAAAATTACTTAGATAGACGTGACACAATGACTTATAAAAACGAGGAATTACTTCCCACGACTTCATTAACCTTACTTAATTCATTTCTAAAATTGGAACGCTTTAATATTATCGAAGGTCCAAGGACTAGATGGCGAGCTCTTGATGCTGATATATTTCTGTGTCAAGTTGGTCATAAACTTCCCACAACAGTCAATCATTTTGGATTCGATATCGATTGTGAATTTTCTGTTGTAGCTCTTAACAAGTTCCTTAGTTGCACTGCGCATCACATAAAGACACTTTCATTCGCTAGATGCACGAAATTCAACAAAAATCATTTGAAAGCCATCTATCAGCATAAAGATTTACAAATCGACGCATTGAACATCCCTTGGCCTGGAAATTTTGATAAATTTACTTTATACAAGGCAAAAAAGCGAATTACGACAGTTCGTTTCGATTCCACTGGAACCAATAAATTTAATGATTCTGACGCTTCCGACAATGAAGTCTATAACACTGACGATTCGTACTTTAGACGCAATAAACGTGACTATTATAACCAAGCGTATGATAGTAGTTCTGATCACGACTCAAGCGCATCGTACGCCGAGCGTCGTAGTCGCTACTATTATGAAGAAGATAATGATTCCTTTTTTATTACAAGCGAAAAAGAAATATTCGGCAATGATAAATACTACGAATGTTGTAATAAATCTAGCAGTGAAGAGGATGAAGATAGGTAGATTTATGAAGGGATACTGTATTTAATACAATTTTAATATTTATTTTATTTAACATTTTAGAACCACTAAAACCATTATAGAATTTTACATAATTTTATTTTTTTATAAATATAAAAAACATTAAATTAATAAAAAAATATTAATAATAAAATCAACATTTTTTATTGACATTGGATGTTATGTATATTGCTTCTATAAATAGACCGAAAGCTTCGTGAGATTGCAAGGTTTCGGTTCGTAGTTCATTAATTTTTTTAGGGATGTTAAATGATTTGTATATTACTGTTCGAGATTTCGTTCGAATTAGTCTCGCTTTCCACCACACGTGGAAAATTATCAAAATGAACTACGTCCGTCGCACATGCACAAATAAAATTTCAAGATTTTTGAGTTTCTACTTTCTAGCGAGAATTGAGGAGGTAGGAGGTGGCACTGCTACTGCGCCTTTCATATGACGTGCATCTTAATTTAGCGTTATACTAAAAATTCTAAAAAGTCATGCGTGAATATTCGAAAATCAATTTCACGTGATTGACATACGTTAAACAAATTATTCAAATTGTAATTGTCTAACTGAATTCTAACTAGATTTGGACACATTATGAAATTACAATTGATTTTTTTGGTTATATCTCGGAGAATTTTAATAAATATAATTCCGTAAAATTTCATACTTTCATCTTTTTTTTTTTATTGTTACACCTCGTAAAAAAAAAAAAAAAAAAAAAAATTAAAAATGTCAAATAGAACAATTAAGTTTCATATTCATTTACCAGGAGGGATAGAAAATATTGGACAACCAATAGTTCTTGGTGATGGAAAAGAATTAGGATTTTGGCAAAAACCTATTGTAAAATTACGACAACCATTTCCTGAAAATTTAACTTATTGGCAATCTGAATTGATAACTATTTCTTTACCAAATTTTTCTAAAACAAATAATATAAAATATAAATTCGCAATTCATATACCAACATCTATTAATGAAGAAGAAGGGGAAAATGTATTTGAAGGAAATAGTCCTGAAGATGATCGTATGTTGGATATTGAAAGAGAGAATCAATTTGCTATTTGGAAAAATAATTCTGATTTAAGTCAAAAATTGAATATACATATTGATAAAATTTATGATTATGCATTTGTGAATTATATTTTTAATTCTATTAGATTTTATAATCTTAAAGATAAAATTTTAGAATATCAATATTTATTATATTATTATAATGATATTACAATTCACGCTTCAAATATTGATTATATTATTAATAATATTAAATATGAATTAAAAGAAAGAAGGATTTTTTTATGTCTTCTTTTAGGACATTATATTTCGAAACAAGAATTTAATTATGAATTACCAAAATTTTTTCCATCCGGATTATTACTCGATGTAATTGATAATTATAAACAGAAAAATTTACCTTCAATTACCAAAAATCCGATGAAAATCGCTATTACTTGTTTAGTTCAACATAATGCTTTTCAACATCAATTTCGTTGGGTCAAAATTTTTACAATTGCGGCAGAAATCGATCCCGAATTTATCTTCATTTATTATTTAAAAGATTTAAGTTATCCTAATGATAATTTATTAGAAAATTTTATTAGGGAATTGGAAATTATTAGTCCTTATATTAATAATACTAAGAATATTGAATTTGAAGTTTATATTAATCTTGCAAAGGTAATTATTAATATATATTGTATATATATATATTGGTGTAATCAAATTAATATTAATAACTTTTACCTTTTTTTTTTTTTGATAGTGGTTAATTGAAATATGTCATAATAATAACGCTCTTTTTAAACTTTGGTTTGATATTCTTTTGCATAATAAAGCAATTGACAATAATATTTTCAAGTTTTTTATTGAACGAATTCAAAAGAATATTTCTAATGATGATATTATTAACTTGGAAAATCGATTTAATAGGGTTCCAAAAAAAATTCAAGGTTATATTTCTGAAGCCTTTAGATATCATGCTATACAATCACTTTCAAATCCATTTATGGAATGGTCTTATCAAGAAATATCTTCTATAAAAAGATTTCTTCAAAATGATAACTTAAATTGGAATAAAAATGATTTAATTCAATCATTAGAATTAATATCTCAATCTGATAATTTAGAATTATTAAAATTATTTCCTGAATTATTGGATAATTGGTTTCATAAAGATTTTACTGATGTTAAAGAAAAAAGGATACCAAAAATTTCTAATGATTGGTTCACAAATCTTTTAGATAGATTAGAAAATATTAGTAATAAAAATGATGATAATTTTATTTTTTTAATATTTCATCAATTAGAAATTATGTTTCCTTTAATAGGTTATCGAAGAAATACTTGGAATAATTTATCAATTATTACTATAAATAGGGTAAAAGCATGTTCTGAACATCAAATAATTGGTGCAACAAAATTTATAATCAAATTAAAAGAAAATGAAGTAAAAGAATTATTTTCAAGTATAATTAAAGGAATAATGAGTGAAATTATTCAACCAATTAATGATCGATTTATTGATAAAATATTCATGTTATGTGATTGCAAAAGTGATATATTAAATATTCCAAATACGTAAGTAATTAATAATGATTTTATTATATATATAAGAGTTTTTTCTTATTTTACTTATTTATTTATTTCAATTTTTTAGTATGTGTGAAGATATTTTATGTTATATAATGTTCACATTACAAAATCAAACGTTCATGATTGATATCTTGGAAGTGTATTTATCTATTATTAAATCTAGTAGATTTTGGATCATTATATTGAATGCTACCGGAAATGTTGAAAATCTTAAAGCAAGTCCATATTATCAATATATTAAAATGTCTACCTTTGAACTTAATAAATTACTTTTAGAAAAATCGTTAAATATGCGATTATTACAACAACTTTTAGATTTTTCCGATGAACAACTTTTTCGATATTTTCGTGAGGTTATAAGAGAAAATAACGGAAATAATATGATTATCTCTAAAAATAATATTACAACACTTAGAGATTTATATAATGATTTTGAACTTCAACTTAATCAACTTCTCGATTTTTATAATGGATTTTGTTCGGATTCTAAAGTAACTGACGTAAATCATTATATCCGTGATGTAAGACAACGTATGGAACATACCGATAATATCAGTTTAAGACAAGTGTTGACTCAAGATTATTGGGCTTTTCATGAGAAATCTTTACAAAGTGCAAGAAATTGTTATGAATTGAATGAAACTCTAATTTTTCGAAATATATTCAGAACTAATCTCCAAAATGATGCTGCTGCGACAAATGTAGAATATATAGCTCAAAAATTAGTACCAATTGTTATTGAAAAATATTATGATATTTGTGAATCATTTAAAAAATAATTCAATTATTTTTTATATTTTTTTATTAATATATTAATATTATTAATTTTGATTTTATAAAAGGTTATGTATCATATAACAATGTTTGTACTTAAAATTTTGAAAGTTTAACATATTAAAGATGATTGGCTGTTAAAATCAATTCAAACTATATCCGGATGTGGTAAGGTAAATAAATTTATTCTATTTAAAAATTCGTTAGAATTTATTTATCCATTTATATTAACTGATTTCACTTATTTTCAGGCAACCCAAACATTCATTTACTGATAAATAAAATCGGGTCACATGATTTATGACGTATCACTCGTGTACATTTTTTTTTTTATTTATTAAAAAAACTATAGCTGATAGTCGTATTTGAAAATTCCTTTTTCATATGAATAAATAATAATATTTGAAAACAATGAATAAAAATACTGTAGAAGAAAATCTTGCAAATTGTAATGATTCTAATGATTCTACATGTAGTCAAATCTAATATTCTAGCGTCTCTGTTCGATCCCTATCATTATAAACTTGTAAGCATCATATGTATTAGCCACTAACAGATTTTCCGGAAATAATTCATCAATAATATTCTCTGGAATTGTTGAGGGCCATAAATTTAATGAACTATCTTGTAAATAAACATATAGTGGCTCCATTTCTTTTTGATTCTCTAAAGTTAAAAATCGGAACATGAACCTTTTTAGGGCTAACGAGAATGCTTCTGCTGGTATAGCTATTTTCATTGTAGTTTGCTTTTTAAAATCTACAGAATTCATTATTGCCGCCTTCATATCTGTTGAAAGTTCTTCTTTATATTTTTCATGAATATATTTAATTTTAACATCGGCGACTTGCTCTTCAACGAATTCGTATAAAGCTACCAAGTGTTTAAGTCGTAAATCGATATTTAAGAATCTAGCGAATCCTTCATGTGTAGACAATGAAGATAATTTCACCCATTTTGAAATATAATCCTTAATGGATATGTCTTTATCTCTAACCGCTGTACGTTTAACAAAACATAGGAGAAACTCTAATGATGATAAATTTTCTGACGCGTTATCTAAAGTATGATCTAATAAATTCATTTTTTCAATTGAGATGGGTTCTTGAGTTATTAAATTCTTAATATCACTAAGAATTCTCATATATCCTTGGAAAAGTTCCATATAATATGGGAAAGGTTCTAAATATAACTGAGACTCTGGTTGAGTTTCTAGGTAAACTTTTTCAAATACTAAAATATTTGCTAATTCCGCTTCAATTTTTGTCAAATCATAAACAATATCTTCTCCTCTAGCAATTGCTAAATTTCTTTGACTATATGCAAGAATTTCATCATCCCATTCAAAATTTATGATATTAACGGAACGAACTTGATCAAGATACATCGATTGAAGGCAATATTCATTAGTTGTATTTGGTCTTGCTGATTTTAACTTTGAAGTTGATGAAACAGTTTGTTCTGCATTAAATGTTGGTTCATCTAAAAACTTGAGAGACCTGCAAGTTCCAGGTTGTATTGACATAACTTCCTCTAAGAATTTATTTTGTAAGCCAACTAAAAAATCTAAGATCGCACATAAGAAGATTCCTGCATCTTTTTGTTCCATCAAACCAAAAACAACCGGAAGTTTATAAGCCATATTCGGTTTTTCTCTTGGAAGTTCATAACATTGATATCGTTTTACAAAAGGTAAGACTGTATTCCAACCTTTACAAAAGTCATCAAACGAGGTTTTTAGACCATTGAAAATTTCATGTTTTTCACCATAATTGGATTCTTTTTCTATAAATTGCCTGAAGGTCATTTCTCTCGCCTTCTGTCTTGTTAGCTGATAACCGAGTTTTGAATTTAAAATTTGAACAAATTTTACAATAGGCAAAAGATGTTTTAGCAATTTTAATTGCTCAACATATTTGAAGAATATTGAGAGGAATAGATAATTATTTTTGCTCCTTTCCAATTCACCCAAATAATAACTATGGAAACTTTTGAAGTCAACAGATCTAATCCATCTCCATAAAGCTGGTAAACTCTCTAATCGATATTGTTTATCCATGACTAAAGTTTGATTAATTTCGTCTTCAATCATATTATTCTTTTGATTTTTGGCTAAAGTTTCGCTTAATTTCATACGATAATTAGTTGCTGTTTCAATTATATTTCTAATTTGTGGTTTAATGTAATTTATATGGAATTCAGCTTCCCAATTCTCGCGATCAGCAGATGATTTTATTTGTTGGTTTGGCAATGGAGGCTTCTCCATCATTGAAGAAATTAGAGAATGAAATATTAACGCCAAATTCTAGTTTAAAAAAATTTAAAATTTAATTTATTATTTTATATTAGAAGACAAAACAAATAATAAGAAAAAGCTTATAGTTTACCTCATCCGAACAATTAAGAATATTCTTGAGAATTGCCCAATCATTTCGAATATGATCCATACAATACTTTTCAGCATCGGTAGCAGTTTGATTGTTTTTTCTAAGAAAAGCAAGGGCAGGTTGAGGTGCAGATGCTCCAATAAGAGCATGAACAATTAAATGTAGAATACGATATGATGTAGGTGTTAGAGATCTAACAGAATGAGTCAAAGTTTGATTAACCAGTTCTCCAATATACCCTTCTTGATCATTTACCGGTAAATAAGTTAAATGAGTAATCATCTCAGAATCAATTCTAGTATTACCTGCTGAAAGTACATGATATTTTCCACCGATGATATTTTTACAATTTGGACATGTGCTAGTGTGATAAGCTGTAGCACATTCTCCGATGACATATTTAAAACCACATTTACAAGCAAATCTTGCAATGCTTTCTCTAGCAGCAATTACATTAATCACTACAGATTCTTCATCGGAAATGCACGTTAAAATAAAGAGATTCTGACAATCTTGTATTCTGTGTAAGTACATTGCTAGTTGAGATGAATTCGGTTCAACCGATGTATGAAATGCGATTATATGTGCAATAACAGATTTCAAAATCAAATCAGTATTATTAATTCTCGAATCATTAATTTGAAGTAAAAGTTGTCTATTCGACAAGATTTTTGTTGTGATTGTTTTAAATAATACTGGGAAATTATTCATTCCAGCAAGTTCTTTGATCACGAAGTCAGCCGATTGCGTTTCTGGATGTCGCCATTCTCTTGAAGCTCTTATTGCGTGAAGACGTACAAAGAAAAGTCCAAATAAAGATAATTTAGCTGTCAGAGTAGTTTTTTTCTTAATTTTTTGTATAAATTCTTGGAAGGGTGCCTTATTGCCTACACCATAAAAAATCATAAAGCTTTTTTCTAATTCATTATATTCAGGTAAATTACAGTATGGGTTAAAAGTCAAACGATTTTCTTTAATATCTTCCCAATTTAAAGTTCTGAGCCATGGTAAAATTCTTTTTTGAGCTTCACAAAATTTTCTGACATCATCAATTGAAAAATCTCTCTGGCGTAAATCTCTTAAAAAGTACATTTTGAGAGAATAAACCAAGGGGTGAGCGATATTCATGTAAGTATTAATTTGATTGATTACTTCACCACTATCAAAGTCGTCTTCTTCCATTTGAGTATATGCAATGGGTCTATTCTTATCTTCTTGAATAAAGCTATCCCAGAATCGACGAACGAATTCTTTAAGCAAAGCAATAGAAGTTATTTTTTGCAATGGTGGAATTCCTTGTTTATATAAAGCTTCAAGAGCTGGTCCAATAAAAGCCGCTAAATTTTCTAATTCTTCATTCATGAAGAAGGTCTGTTCAATGGTATCACAACATAAAGTAGCCATATGTGTATCTAAATCTCCTAAACATTTATTAATAACATTTAATCGAGGAGATTGTATTGAAGCTTCTTCGAAATCTGAAATTACTGTAAAAAATATATCTTCATTTTCTGTATCTTCTTTAAGAAAGATTTTTTCGATGATTGCACCCATCAATGAAAAAGGTTCATACGAGAATAATTTCTTGTAAAGGCTTAATCGAATGTCTGATTCAAGTGGAATAAATCCAAGACATCTTATGATAAATGATCTTTTCGGAATTAAATTTTTCTCATTTTGTTCTAATTTATCTAGCTTATCGAGTACGGTGTTAATAAATTTCTCGGGAAGAACTTCATGCTTATCCGAACTTTGACCGAGTTGAACAATTTCTTTAATGTCATCTAAAGGAATAGCCTTTGTTGCGACTAAATCATTTACAATATGTAACAATTGAATATCTGGTAAATTCTTCGCTCGCGTTATCTTGTTAGTAAGAGATAATACTTTTGTGACGTCATATTGCCATTTATCAGAGTTTGTTACGCCATCAAAATTTCCATAAATTCGCTGTAACATAAGTTTTATCGCTTCTTTTACGAGATATTTTTCTAGACTTCCTTTAATTATAGCATTGCCTCGGATTTCGATATTTTGAATTATTATTGGAAACATTTGAGTCAATTGTAATTGGGCTAAAATTTCGTTGCCATTTTTCCACCAATAAGAGTGAAGGAAAATTGGTTGACGTAATTTATCTGCACTGAAAAGTAGTTTCAAGATCGTTGTTAACATTTTTGTATTTTTACTTCCACCATTGTTTGTTGCAATAACAGTAACAAAGTCATTGAAATATAACTCAGAAACCCATTCAAAAAGCGAATCTTTTAATTCTGGGACCGATGTAAAAATGTTATTTTTAAAATCTTTTAAATGATCTTCAATTATCCAATCATAAAGTTCATTTGTTGTTCCATTAATTCTATCCTCGTCTTGTCGTAATATTGCTACTTCTTCTTCATAATATCTTTTAAAATTATCAATCTGTTTCATAAAATATAATGAAAAGGGAAATTTAAGATCATATAAACTTTCTGCTGTCATAATATATCCATCAGGTTTTGGATCTGATAAATCTTCAATTTTGACAATCTTATTATTCATAAAAATTTGTTGCCAAAATTTGAACAATCCTTCATCATTATCAATATAAAAAACTGGGTTTGTTGCTGATAATCTCTCTAAGGCACATAAAATTTGAGCTATTGGTTTTCTAATTAGTGTTCTAATATGAACTTGGAACGATAAAGAAAATGAAGTGAAAGAACGGCCATTTAATGCAACCTTGTATGCCCGATCATTTATAGATTTTTCTTTAATCCATTCAAGAGTTTTTTCTTTCAAGCACTTAATAAAGTTTGGGCACTTTAATATTTTTTCACTCAATATTCTAAATTGAGAAAAGTTTTAACAACTATTTTTAAAAAAAAAACTTTAGCGGACAGAAACAAACACTTACTTTGCATGATTGTCTGATATATCATTTGATGGATATTTCATACACGATAAACACCATAATAGTTCTTCTTGTAAAATTTTTTCAAATGGATATGTACAGTTGATAATATCACATAACGATTTATCCAGAAGGCTCGTGTCATATCTTGGCAATGTTTCTATAGTTATTTGTTTCCAGCCACACATGAAATTAAAAGATAAAGTTAATTCTCGATTTCGGTGGATATGAAGAATGATACATGCGTGTTTCATAGGTTTCTCTTGTTCCATGTGATCCTCCTTTGCCATGTATTCATTTCGAAATTGTTCAATGATGAATTTAGCTAATTTAATACATCTAGTATTAACGGTAGTTACATCACATTGGAGAATTAACATATTATCAGTTGATTTTAACCAGAAATGTTTCACCTACAAGTTTAAATCGGTTATTAAAATAAAGATTATATAACGTGTATGTAATATAATAAATCATTACCCAATTTGAAAATTGAACTTCTGTCTTGAAAGCTGATAATGTATCTACTTGACACGTTACGAGTCCTTGTAAACAACATTTGACATCCGTAAAAATACTAGAGAATGTGTTGACAATCACTAAATGTCTTTCTGAATCTGTCAACAATCTTTCTTGATTAAACAAAGTAGAAAAATAATCATAAATACTGTCATGGTTTTGTTTATAGTAATAAAGATGCTTCCATCGATCAGCTTCATCTCGTCCTAGCACTGATTGTTCAGCTCTTATAATTCCGTCAGAAGACGCTATTGCCACTAAACATTCCTTGCAATTTTCTAAAATCTCACTGTTTTCAGCTTCAGGGTTATTCTTTGTAATATCGATAACTAAACTTTGTAATGTTTCATCCTTGTCAAATCCAATGAATAGATCCTTATGGGTGAATTTATTAAGTAATTTAGTTACTGGATTAGCTCCAACATAGGTTGTCATTCGCTTTGACCAATCTTTTAAACTCTCGACAAGTGATTTTTGCCTATCATTAAGTATGTCATTAATCGACATTGTTTGTTTTTCAAATCGACTGAGAAATGAAGATTCAACAGAAGCCAAGTTCTTTTCATCCATGACAAGAATACATTTAAAATTTGGCGAAACATAACTAATTAAAATAATTTAGAATTAATTTAAAAAACATATCTTAAAACAAAATGAATAAATAATATACTTACATAAGATTAGTGTATGCTCCGAGCGCAACTCTAATAAAGTATTTGGCGTTTTCTTTACTTCCAATTACAATATAATTTTGATTCCATAAATCGTAGAGTATTTCTATTAATTATAAAAAAAAAAAATGAATCACTTCGTTTAGAAAATGTAATGTTAATAAACGAAATGTTACCATAAATTGTTTCTAAATCTACTAGGATCAATAGTCTTCCTTCTTCGATGCACATCTGAAAAAAAAAAAATCATCATTTATATATTTATAAAAATGAATTGAAACAAATCACAAAAAAAAAAAAATATTATTACCAAAATTTTACTTAAAACGTTGTATAAGTAATCATCTCGGTCACTAGAAAATTGTGATCCTAAAATTACAACAGGGTCCAAATTTTTCACTTTTAACTGACGAGTTAATAAATTTAAGATCGTATCGTTTCTACCAATAACCATTAGAGGACGCGCATCAGGGTCTTCTAGATCTAAATTGATCAACTTTTCAATCGGAATTGGTTTATAAACCCATGGTTCATGATTATTATTATACATCTTAAATACGTTTCCAAAATGTTTTTCATACAATTTGACATTATTTTCTATCCCTCCAAAATTGCGGGCTAATGCAGTTTGGATATTCGCCGGAGTCATTTCATCTAATGAAAGTTGTTTGACCAATGCATAATAATCATGAAGGCCATGAAAGTTAGGCAAAATTTGACCACATTTTTCATAATCTAAATATGCTTTAGGCAAAAGTTCTAATGTGTCTCTTTGATCTCCAAGTTCAATATTTAACAAATGTACAGTAGTTGAAACTAGATCATCCAAATTTAATTGTGGTCTGTATAAATAAATATAGGAAATTTATAAATTAATAATAAAATTATATGCAAATGAATTCAAAATTAATTTTATTCGTACCTCTGAACAAGTATTGCACGACTAATTTTGCTATTATCCGGACGCCAATTAGAAATTCCTATCACTGCAACAGTTAGTTCTGTATCTGGATAACTTGGTTCAAGAAGAGAATGAAGTACGCTTAACGGATTGAAAGGACTCATTTCATCTAAACCTACTGAAAAATAATGATAGTTCGAACAATGACTTTATTTAAATATAACACAAGAAGATATCAAAATAGAACTAAAATTACCTTCATTAAGTAATACTACACTAATAATAGGGAATTCCTTGGAGTCTGTTTCCTGATATTTTTTTGCTTTATCAAAAACTTTTATGATATCATCAGGTGTTGAAGACAAAGATCCTTGATGAGTAATTAAGTAAACCTGAGGTAAAGTTCTAAAATACTCATCGCGTGAATTAAATCCATTTAAATTCGAACTTATAAGATTAATTGCTAAAGATTTTGAAGAACCAGGTGTTCCAATAAGGAATAGGGGAATGCGTGTCAAAATGCATACAATCATAACTAAAATATTTTCCGATAAAGCTTCGTTTATAGCTACATTAGAAGGAATTTCCATTCTATTAATATAGTATTCCTGTTCCTCGCGAATGATTTCAGCAAATACATCTTCTCCTAAGTCAAAATTATGGGTTTGAAGTATTTGCCCCATGTCATGATGATATTGTTTACGTAAATCTTGTTCATATAATCGAAAGTAGTAACAAAAGCTTAGTGCTAAAACATAAGATCTAGTCGTTATAGTAGGATTTTCAGATGGTGGGTGTGTATGTCCTCTCTTGTAAGCTTGGCGTTTCTCAAGGGAGTTATAAAAGAATTCCACTAATGTTATAGCTCGTTTAACATCACGTAAGCTAACACTATATGGCCCCTCAACTTTCCGAATAAATCTTTGAGAAGCGGATAATAGCTCAACAAATACAGGATGAGATAATTTTTTTAATTCTTTTTCAACCATAATTTGAATATACTTCAATTCATCTTTCGAGTTTAGGATACCATAATCAAAAACATAATCCAAAATTTGATCGGGAAGTGGTGTGACTTGATAAACAAGATTACTTTTTTCTTCGTATTTCTTAACTTTAGTTGTCAAATCAATTGCTTTACTTTGAGCTCCTGTACGAAGACGATATGGATTACAGGTAGAGAATAAACGAATATTTGGATGTATGTATTTACCATTAAGCATTCTGCGGGATATTAGATCTGCAAGTAATTCTATTTGATTGCAAGTGTTAATTCCGTTAAATAATAACCAGATCTCTCCTTTTCCCGCCTTTTTCATAGCATCATTAATGAACAACATAAAAGTTTTTTCATCGATTCCAGCATGAAGATTAAGAGTCTGAAATTGTACTTCTATCATTATAGCCAAATAAGCAATCAAACTTGTCTAAAAAAGAATTAAAATTTTATAAATACGGATAACAATAAAAAGAAATTTTGAATATATTAAATATTTACCTTGCCACATCCCGCTTCACCACAAATTACGACCGGAACGTTCGATCGTACTCTTAAAAGAATTAACGCCATCTTTATCAGGTTATCACTAGATAGGACATATTCTGGTAGACTTAATTTTTGTGTTGATCTACGAACCATTCTTTCTAATTTCATTAAAATCTCATTTTCGGACATTGTAACATAATCATCTAGTTTCCAATTTGAATGATCACTTTTTAATAACAACTTAGCGTTATCATAGGCTTTCGTTCTGTCACTGTATAAAAGTGTTATAGTGTCTTGATCTTGGGAGTTGAAAAATAATATAAAATTATTAAAATCATCCCATTGAACAAAATTTCTACCATCAGCAGCTATAGATTCTAGTTCTGTCGCTCTGGTTTTAATAGATCTAGCTGCAAAATCTTTTGAAATGCCTATTAAAATTCTTAATATTAAAGCAATATTAGCCTCTTCTACAATCAATTTCAGATTACCTAAATTATTTAAAGTAAAATGTTGGTTGGATGATAATCGAACTAATTGATCCGTGAGTACATTAATAAATATTTCAAAAAATCTAAATGAAGAAACAACTTTAATGTTATTGTTAAAAATATATTTATCAATAAGAGATTGACAGCGTTCCACAGATAATGGCTTTTTGGTTGCTTCATTTGTTCGGAAATGGACTTCTTTGATATCTATTTTATTGCAATCCAATAGGCTCAAATAATGACAAACAATCTGAATTGGACTATTAATTTCTTGGGAAACGCTTAAATTTTTAATATTCCAAGTTAAGTGATTAAACAATATATATCCCGCCATAGGAAGAGAATTAAGCAAACGTTGTTCTACGGTTGAAGCTATCTCAATAAATACATATGTAGGTGTTTCTAGCGAAGGCAGATAAGCTATATCGTTAGTAGAAACCATTCCCAAAGTTAATAATTCGAATAAGAACATGTTGACGTCTTCAGGATGGTCTGTTGACACAATATTGATATGCATACTCTCCGTTTGCTGCAGCTTACATTCTTTGAATCGAGTTACAAGTTTGTCAAACCCCATACCATCGCTTATTAAGAAACTACGTAATATTTTCTTTTTAGCGAAGCTGGCTTCTTTAATCCATTCAGTTTTTCCCTGGCCTGATAAATCAGATGAAACGCGTATAACGCTTTGACATAATTTCCGATAAACTTCTCTCATCGTTTCAGTGCTTAAACCATTAGTTTCATGAACATCTCGAGAGAATTGATCTAAAATATAGTGGTGCATACCAGTCTTTTTGTAACAAATAAGCGCTAATAGATAATCAATCTCCTGATCATGTAATTTTTGCATCGCTCTAATTTGATTGACTAAATTATATTGCAATTCAAAGTCTAACAATTCTAGATTTGCAATACAAAATAAGTAATTATTATATCCATTATTTGATGCAAAAAAACTTCTTTTGATGAAAATCATGAGTTCTTCCATCGTGGTTAAAGAAGTACATATTAAGAGTTGCCATGGTTCTGGGTAATATCCATGATTAGCATATAACGACATAATTACATTAGGAATTCGTGAACTATCTGTACAAGCAGCGACAAACAATTTGCTTTTTGTAACAATGTCCGACATTACGCGTTGTCCAGTAACATTAAATTTACGCATTTGTTTTGGACTATCTTCAAAAATCCTTTTTAATTCGTCACCGATTTTATGAAGAGTTTCAGGATCATCTTTTGATCCACATAATACAACTTCATTACGAGAAGGTAATTGGGCCTTACTATTTACAAATCTAATCAATGTCTTGCATTCTTCTTCATGTTTCTTATCTAATTTTTCCGATGTAAAGTAATCATAGAGTGTCAAAATATGACGAACAGAAAAGAACGTTAGATAATAACATCTCTCTCGCGCACGATCAACTATATCTTTCCTATGAATTTGTAAAATCATAACTTGTTAATTATTACTAAATAAATTATTAACTGTAGACAATATAATTACCATTTTTCAAGTTCATTATTTAGAAATTTAAGATAATCTTCCATATTATTTGTCCCTTGTAATTTCTTTTCAAAATTTTTATTACCAAAATGAAAATGTCCAAGTTGAATTAGCACAGACACTGCGACGATTATTTCTTGTGCTACATCTACTTGAAAAATAAAATCATCCATAACGGTATCATAATCATTTAAAATATCATCTATGCTTGTACTATCGGTGTCTTTTTTTGCTATTGATAAAGCTCGTACGCGTAAATCCAAAATTTCATTTAAATTATACATTACGTTGGAGGAATATTTTAATGAAACTATACATTTGTCTTTTCTTTCATCACGTACAAAAATATATATTCCATTAAGTACAATATTCTTAATATTTTCCTTAGTGATTTCGCCACGATTTAAAATGGTATTGTACGTCATTCGTAATGTCATACTGTAGTTATTACATAATGCTACCTTTCCCCCTAAAGAGGAATTCTTTATTATAACATCCTGTAATTCTTTCAAAAGCTCATCGATATTTTCTACTTTATCCTTATTCATAAGTGGGAATAAAAATTGCTCGACTTGAATAAGCGATGAAATTGTATCTTCTTGAATATCTAAATGTCTGTCAACGCTATTTACGTAATTTAACAATTTTCTGGTATCAAATTTGCCGATTATTTGTAGAAAAACCATAAGATCTTTGGCAATTGATAATTCTTTTATCAAACCCCAACAACCTTGACTAACAGAATGATTTTTATCAAGGTAATCAAAAAAATTATTTAATACGCGAAGTGTCACGGAATCATCTTTTAAAATACGAATTGATTTTGACAACCAATTATCTTCATTATGTGGCACTTTGAAAATTTTTACAACTTTTTTCAAATGCTCAAATCTTTCAATCCACTGAGGTCTCTTCGAAAGATTTTTAAGAGCTTGTGCAAACTTCTGGTTTTTAGAAGAACTAGAATATTCAATTAATTCAATTTCTACATCAACATTTGTAATATTTTTCAAAGACGCATCTGAACATTTGAATTTTTCCCATTCCTTACAAAGGGCATCATATTTTTTAAAAACGGCTGGTGTTAATATTTGTGCTATATATTCTACATTTATTGCAGCATCATCTTCCCTAAGATAAACTTCAAAGATATTGTTGAAAATTTGAGATTGACCAAATTTGTAACAACGCTTTGCACTATCCAAAGTTTTCTCGTGCAACTTCCAATGATCTGATAAAATCGATTTATTCAAAATAACTTTATCTAAATTTTGCATACGTTTTTTTATGTCTTGAATAAAATTATTTACACCCATAACTTTAGATTCTGAACAATGTTTATTATAAAACTTAAGAAGTTGATCGAGTTTAAGTTCATAATCGTGATATAATTTTCTAAGTTTTGCGATTTCGTCTCGAGAAATAATCAAATGACCTAGAGACTTCTTTCCAATAATTTCATCAAAATATTGAAACAATTGTTCATCTGAATATTTCAAAAGCTGTTGTAGTAATTGTAAATTTATCGTTTCTTCTATAAGTAATCTATTAAGTTCAACGATAGACATTTGAATATGTTGTAAATATGAATTTGCATTGAGTCTTTCTACACTGCCGGTAGAATTTAATATGAGAATTAAAAATTTACTAGATTTTATAATATTTATATATTGCTCTGAAGCGTCAGATACATTTGATTTTCTTTGTAATTCGTCCAAAATATAGCATAAAATATCTTCAATCATTCTAAAAGATTTATAAAAAAAATAATAAATAAATAAATATTGATATGTAATAATTCGTTACGAGTTCAATAAACAAATCTTACGTGTTTGGAACTTTTAATATTTTGCTGCCTTTGCAACCGCAAATCGTAAATATTTTACCAATCAATCGATCATTAATTTGTTGAATAGTTTTAATAAATATTACTTCTTTAATTATATCGGAAAATAATTCTTTAATCTCTTGTTCTTTTATCTGGCCTATCAATTTTATGGAATCGATTATTTGAGATTCAGGACGTGACTTTACTTTCTTTACAACAATTGTAGTGAGATTTTGCCAAATATTTTTTCGATGACTAAGTAAAGGATGCATACGTTCTAATAGTTGAAATATTAAAGATATAAAGTTGACTTCGTTTGAAATATTTTTCTCATTTGCGCTTAGTTTAAACAAAAGAAGTGTAAACCAATTTGTACAAATACTTGGTAATCTTTTCTTTTTAGTATCGGAAAAATTATTTCGAAAAAAGTTATCCAAAATTTCAGGGAATATATTTAATAATTCCAAACTACGAGACTGAGATATATATTCTAATGAGATTATGGCATCGTCATCTGACCAATTTAAGCCGTCGTTTTGAAGAAGTTTTTGTATAGCAAAAATATCTCGACTTTCCCACTTCCGAATTGGATTTTCAAGTAAAAATAAAATATGATTTCGGAAAACTTCAGTAACGTCATCATGACAATTCTTTGGAATTCTATTAAAATCGTTTTCTAAAGCAATAGAATCGCCATTAGAGATGTTTTTTTGAATTTGATCAATGAAAAACTTGAATATGTTTTTATCGATTTCTTTATTATGTGCGAGAATATCATTCCATAATTTGAAAAGAGAGTTATTATTATGGCATAATTGAATCAACCACTATCAAGAAAAAGAAAGAAATATGAATAAAAGCTTTAATTATGATGAAAATAATTAATTTCTTAAAAATACCTTTGCAATTTTAACGTAGATATTGAAATCAATATTCTTAATATGAGGACTAATAATTTCTGCTTCCTTAATAAATTTTTCTAATAAATCATCATTGGGATACTTTAAAGTATTTAAGTGATAGATGAAATTATATTTAGGATCAATTGTTGCCATAAGCGTAAAAATTTTAAGCCAGTGGAATTGATATTGAAAGGCATTATGTTGGATCAAATTTGTAATAGCGGCATGAAACAGAACTTTGACATCTGAAGGAAATATTTCTTGCTTGTAGTTATCAAGTGCATCGAGCAATAATTCTGATGAAAAGGACGTCGGTAGTTCATAATTCAAATCTTGTCTTAAAATATGATATCCTAAAAGAAGACATAAGAAGAGTCGTTTTTCCTTTAGTTTATCGTCAATATTATTGACGATATATTCGAAATTTGATGCACAAACTGTGACGTCATTATGAAGATCCAATAAATGTTGATATTCCATTACTTTATCTTTAAAGTTATGAATCCCAATAGAGTTAAAGATATAATCTACAAAAGCATAATCTTGAATTTGGTCAAGACTCAATTTTTGGCTTAAATTAAAATTATTTTTCCAAATGGCAAATTGGTTCTCTTTCTCAATATCCAATATACGATTATCTTCATCGCTATTTCCTTCGAATACGTTTTTTTCATGAAACGGAGGTTTTGGTATGTGAATAGCAAACCTATATTGAATATAATTTTTTTCGGGAATGTTTGATACGGAAATAATTGTTGGTTCTGACTGCCAGTAAGTCGGATTTTTAGGAAATGGTTGAAATAATTTTACAACAGGATTTTCCCAAAATCCCAGTTCTTTTATATCACCAAGGACTATTGGTTGTCCAATATTTTCTATTCCTTCCGGCAAATGAATATGAAATGTAAATGTTTTATTTTCCATATTAAATTCAATATGCAGAATAAAGAAGCATTTTTTTTAAAAAAGAAAACTTTAATTTTCAATTTTCAACCTTTCTTGCTTTTATTTTATAGTCCAAATGACGATAGTCGGACATATACATATTTCTGTGTAACGTACATGTGCAAATTCTGACATATAAAAATCGAATATAAAGGAAATAGTTCTATTTAGTAGATTGTTGTAATCTTGTGGAAAAACGTTATTCGATTTTTTTTTATACGTACAAAATTAGAATGATTTGAAATTCTTCTACACAAAATTTTTTATTATCAATTTTAATAAATGTAAAAAATAGACTGACCTCCAAAATTATTTATTTGAAGAGGAAGATCGTCGAATTTATTTCATTGTTACCATAACAATAATAATGTCATAAAGTACTATATGTTTTAATAATCATATGTTAAGTGCTTACATAAGACAATTAAGACATATACAATGATGATTTTCATTAAACTGTTAGCGTTCCAATTTCTTATTACAGTAAGTCACTTGTAGCACAATACTTGTCAGATGATTATAGTCGCACATCCGTCGATTAAAAGTTTTTTTATAAAACGTGCTTTTTTTCTAACTAAAAAAAAAAATTAGGTTTCTTTTCAAATGTTATTCGTTTTTTGTACTTTCCGTAAAAATGAATATCAATCTGGAAAGTAAAACATTTACGTTTCATATTCATCTGCCGGAAGGGATAGAAAAAATTGGACAACCAATAATTCTTGGTAATGTAGAAGAATTAGGATTTTGGGAAACCCCTATTGTAAAATTACTTCAACCATTTCCTAAAAATCCGACTCATTGGCAATCGGAACCAATAACTATTTCCGTATCAAACACTGAAAGAAATCGGATTCAATATAGATTTGCTATTCATGTACAAAGTCCTGCGCTTTATGGAAATGAAGAAAAAAATATATTCGAAGGTGATGGTGATAAAGATAATCGTATATTAGATACTGAGAGAGAGAACCAATATGCCATTTGGAAAAATAATTCTAATTTAAGTCAAAGATTAAATCTTGCTCAAGTTAAAGACTGTGCTTTTGTAGATTATATCTTTAACTCTATCAGAGCTTACAACCTTAAAGATAAGATTATGGAATATCGACATTTATTAAATCTTTATGATGATGTCACAATTCGTGCATCAAACCTTGAATACATTATTAATAATACCGACAATAAATTAAAAGAAAAGCGAATTTTCTTATGTCTTCTTTTAGGGTATTATATTTTAAGACGAAATTTAAATTATGAGCTACCGACTTCTTTCTCTTCTGAATTATTGCTCGATGCACTTGATAATTACGATCTAGAAACTTTTCCTTCAAATATCAAAGTTCCAATTCATACCGCTATCACAACTTTAGTCCAACATAATGCCTCTCGATATTATTTTCATTGGGTTAAAATTTTTACGATTGCGACGAAAGTTGATCCTAAATATAGTTTCATTTATCATTTAAATACTTTAAAGTATCCCAGTGATGATTTGCTAGAAAAATTTATTAAGGAAGTAGAAATTATTGGTCCTTATATTAAGGATGTTGAATTCGAAATATATATTAATATTGCAAAGGTATTTTTAGTAAATTAATTATTATGTATCATAACCAGAGCTTTAATCATATTTTCTTTTTTTTCAATAGTGGTTAATTCAATTATGTCATAATAATGACTCCCTTCTCAAACTATGGAATGATATCCTTTTGCATAATGATGAAATTGATAAAAACATTGTCAAATTTTTCATTAATCAATTTCAAAAGAATATTTCTAAAGATGATGTTGTTGCTTTAGAAACCCATTTTAAAAAAATAAAAATTCCAAAAAATTATCAGGATAATGTTGCTGAAATTTTCCGAAATCATATTTTATTTTTACTTGAAGATCCAATTCGTAAATGGGAAGATCAAGACATTTTTGCTATACGAAACATTCTTCAAGATGATAGCTTAAACTGGTCAAGTGACGATGCCATACTTTCATTAGAGTTTATATCACGATCTTGTAATTTGAAATTGTTAGATATATTCCCTGAACTTTTGGATAATTTCTTTCGAAATAATTTTTCTGATACTAAAAAGAAAAGATTACCAAGCATTTGTACAAATTGGTTTACACTTCTTTTGCTTATACTAAATGTTTCAAACGAATGCAACTTTATCTCCCTGATATTTTACCAATTAGAACGTATGCATCCTTTACTTAGCCATCGAAAAAACATTTGGCAAAATTTTACAACTATCGCTATAGAGAACTTAAAGGCATGTCCTGAATCTCAAATAATTAATGCCATAAAATTAGTAGACAAGATAAAGGAAAAAGAAATTAAAGAATTATTTTCTGATATAATTAAAGAAATGATTTTTAAAACAATTCCAATTCAACAAATCGATGACCGGCTGATCGATAAAATTTTCATGATTTGCGGTTGTGAAAGCAACAAATTGTTAGAAGTCCCAAACACGTAAGATTAATTATTGAGCTCGTAATACTCGTTATATTAACTGTTTATTAATTCTTTATTATTATTATTATTATTTTTGATAAAATTTTTAGTATGATTGAGGATACTTTATGCTATATTTTGGATGGATTGCAAAGAAAATCGAATTTATCTGATACTTCGGAACAATATTTAGATATTATAAAATTTGGTAAATTCTGGATTCTTATATTAAACGCCACCGGAAGTGTTGAAAAACTTAATGAAAATTCATATTTTAAACATATTCAAATGTCTACCGTTAAAATTAATAGATTACTTATAGAAAAATCAATAAATATACAATTGCTTCAACAACTTTTAAAATATTCTGATGAACAACTATTTCGGTATCTTGATGAAACTATTGGCAAAAAGAAATCTTTAGGCGAAGTAATTGTTACTCAAGGTGAAATCACAAATCTTAGAAAATTATGTCACAATTATGAACTTAAACTTAATCAACTCCTTAAGTTTTACAATGAACTTTGCTCAGCTTCTAAAATTACGGATGTAAATGATTTTACTCAGGATTTAAAAAAACGAATGCATAATTTAGATAACGTTATTTTAAATCAAACTATGTTATCAGATCATTGGTTATTTCATGAGAAAGTGTTGAATAGCGCAATACTTTACTACAAATTTAATCAATCTCAAATTTTTCGAAATATTATTGAAGTCTATTTCAAAGAGGATGATAATGCAACAAATGTAGAATATATAGCACAAAAATTAATGCCAAGTGTTTTTGAAAAATATGATTCTATTTGTAAACAATTTAAGGAATGGGGAAAGCTCAAACGTTCAGATGTATCCTTACTTTTAAGAAATATTACAAACGTTAATGTGGAACTTGACTTTATGGAAGGTTATATGTCCTCTAAAAATAGGTTTATACAAGCTCTTGATAATATTTCGAAGATTCCGCAATGGATTGAAAGATTTGAGAATTTGAAAAACGTTGCAAAAATTTTCAAAGTACCAATTAATGAAGATGATTGGCTGTCAAAATCAATTCGTATTTTAAAGAATAATTCCAGGATACTTCGTGTATTAAATGATTTTTTTGATTACTTTGGTAAAAATCACTCTATTAATCAAGATTGTTGGGACTTGATAAAAGCATTATCAGTTGCGGAAGAATTAATGATTTCCCTACAAATAATCGATAGATTTGGTATCAAATATTTGATCAATTATACTGATTTGAGCGAAAAGTTAATTCAAGAGGGTCAAGAGGATACAATTTCATCGCTTATCCAAGTCAAACATTTATTATTTCCACTTATGAATAAAGATAAGATAGAAAATGTAGATGAGCTCTTGAAAGGATTATGGCTTGTTATTGAAAAGGACTCTACTATAGTAAAAAAGATAACATTATGTAATAACATACGAGTAATGTACGATTACACTTTAAATCGTGACGAAGTCACTAAGGAAAGAATTAAGAATATTGTACTTAATGGAACATACGTTTTTGCATGTGACGAAAAAAAAGACAAATGTTTAGTTTCGTTAAGATGTTTCCCTAACAACTTAGTATATAATTTAAATGAAATTTTGGATTTATATGAACGAGCTTTTTTAATGGAAAAATCAAAAAAAACAGTTGATAAAAGTATAGATGATATCTTAAATGATTATGATACCGTTATGGATGAATTTATTCTTCAAGTTGATGTTGTACAGAAAATAATTAACATAGCGTCCATGTTAATGGAACTTGGACATTTTGGTTATAGAAAGTTTGAAAAGAAAATACAAAAAACAAGTGATATGGAAGATTATCTTATATTTTTAAATAATGAACTTGAAAAATGGTAATATGTTTATATGTTGTATTATCTTTTTTTTTTTATAAAAAAAGCTAATGGGTTTAATCTTACAAATTTATAGGAAGGATATAATTGATCGTGCGCGAGAGAAATGTTATTATTTAACGTTTTTCTCTATTCACCGTATCTTAGCATTTTATGATTATTTCACGTCGAAAATTTTGGATAAGAAAAATGAAGAAGAGTGCAATACATTGATTAAATTTGTAAACGGTAAAGCTCAGCTGTCATCTCGTAAGGATGTTCAGGAACTTTTATGTGGGACTAAAGATAATTATGAAATTCTTTGCGTAATCGGCGATGAATTAAAAAGAATTTTTGAAAGTATTCCGAGACAATCACGTAAAATTAATGCTGTTGGGCAACGCGTAATGTCAGATATTGTTACAAAAGGCAAATTGTTTGTCGCTGCTTGTACAGATGATACACGAATTCCTAACGTGATTATGTCACTATATGCTAATCATGGATATTATCCAGAACCATGGCAACTCTTAAAATGTACTACTTCTACCACGATGGAAGAGCTCATAATTTTTATCAAAAGGAGTTTTTTTGCGTCAAATAATGGTTACGAAAATCACCTATTCTGTATTGCAAATTTAGAGTTATTGGACTTTGAATTGCAATATAATTTAGCTAACCAAATTAGATTGTTGCGAGATCAAAAGAACGATTTTCTTCTGGCGATTATTTGTTGCAGAGAAAACGGAATGCATCACCATATTTTAGATCAATTCTCCTCAGATGTCCATGCAACTAATGGCTTAATCAATGATGCTATGAGAGGAATTTATAAGGAATTGTGTAAAAATGTTATACGTATTTCTTCCGACTTATCGGGACAGGGCAAAACTGAATGGATTAAAGAGGATAGTTTCAATAAAAAGAGATTCCCACGCAGCTTTTTAATAAGCGATGGTATGGAGTTAGGCAGGCTTGTACGTCAATTCAAGGAATGTAAACTCCGACCTGTAGAAAGTTTACATATCAATATAATATCAGCAGCCTTTCCTGGAGACATCAACATGTTTTTATTTGAGTTATTAACTTTGGGAATGGTTTCAACTAATGTCGATATAGTTTGCCTGCCTACAACTACTTATACTTATATTGAAGTAGCCTCAACTACAGAACAACATTTACTTAATTCTCTTCCTATGGTAGGATATTTATTGTTCAATCATTTAACTTGGGACATTAAGAATTTGAGGGTTTCTCAAGAAATTTATAGTCCAATTCAAGTTACTTGTAATTATCTGAATTTATTAGATAAAAATGAAATAGATACAAAAGAAATCCTTTTCAAGACAGATAAAGCAACTAAAGAACCGTTACCAGCAGAACGCTGTCAAAATCTCATCGGGAAATATTTCTTTAACAAAGATGCTAAAGATATTTCTTCATTTAGGTTTGTTGAAATATTTGTTAATATCCTTGCAGATCAATTAGTTAGATTATCATCAAACCAACTCTTGAGTGTAGATAATCTAAAATTAGTGGTAAAAGAAGCTAATATTAGGAATTTAATAGTAAGAACCTTTATAGATGTTTCTAAAGATTTTGCAACTAGATCTATTAAAACCAAAGAAGCACAATTAGAATCTATAACTGCTGATGATGATGATGAAAATGCTCGTCTTGGTACAATTGTTCAATGGGATGATTCAAATCATCATATAATATTTTTCAATTCTCTAATCCCTGATAAAATATCATGTTTATATCGAGACAGAAATAAAGTTCATGAAAATGTTAGGATTTTATTAAAAAGTCAAGTAACTGGAGATCTAACAAAATGGGAGTTAGATAATTATGATTCAATGTCTGCAGATACTCTTTTTTTAAAGTTAGAATGTTTGGCACGAAAAACGACACAAAAATTAGATCTTCCTGAATATGCTTTATCTGTTGAGAACTTAATAAAGATGGCCCTAATTCTTTTAAGAGCACGTGCGAATATTCCGGTGATAGTTTGTGGTGAAACAGGATGTGGCAAGGTGATTTTATTTTGTTATGTTTCATTATTATTGTTTCCTAAAAAATTATTTTGTTAAAATTTTCAATTCTTTCATAGACAAGTTTGATCGTCTATTTGGCCTTGATGGTTGAAGTTAAATTCCAGGCACTTAACCTTCACGCCGGAATCGATGAAGAGACGATTATGATGTTTATGAAGGATGCTTTAGAAAAAGCAGAAAGAGGCGAAATTTGGTTATTATTTGATGAGATCAATACTAGCAACTATATAGGTTTACTCGCTGATTTAATATCCCATCGAATGCTTAATGGGAAACCAATACACCCAAATATTCGTTTATTCGCTGCTTACAATCCATATCGTCTTCGTACGAAAGCTCAAAGCCAAGCCGGTTTGACAAATAGAGTTAAAAAATTCGAAGAACAAAGTAAACTTGTTTATCGAGTCAAACCACTACCTGATCAAATTTTAGATTATGTTTGGGACTATGGTATTCTGAAATCAGAAGATGAATACAGATATATTCTAATTATGGTTGAAAAAGAATTAAAAACTTTATCCCATCCTGTATTTGCAGAACTTCTATTTGCTTCTCAAGAATTCATTCGTAAGGTTGAGGAACGATATAGTGTGAGCTTACGTGATGTTAAACGAGCTATAATATTAGTGAAATTCTTTCATAATTCTCTTCAAAATCGTCCGGTTTGGAGGAAAGGACATACATATCCACCACCTGGTAATCCAACAATAAAGACCAGGTCCTATGTTCTGGCACTTAGTCTTTGTTATCATTCTCGGTTATATGAACAAGATTTACGTAAACAATATTGTCAAGAAATGGAACAAATATTACATAAACATGATGTTTATATAGGAGAAAATATGTTTGCTAAAATTATTCGTGAAGAACAGGAAGATTATATCAATAGGATGCAATGTCCACCTAATACGGCATATAACGTAGCTTTATTAGAAAATGTTTTAGTCATGATCGTGTGCATTTTGACAAAAATCCCTCTGTTCCTTATAGGAGCGTCAGGATCTTCGAAATCCTTAGCAATCCATCTTATAAGCTTAAATTTACGTGGGTCTGATTCAAATGATGGATACTTTAGAAAATTGCCACAAGTTTACTTAATTCCACATCAAGGCTCTTCATCTTCGACTTCCGAAGGTATAATAAAAGTTTTTGATAAGGCAAATAAATTTCAGGAGATAACTTCCAAGCAATTTCCTGTTGCTGGTGTCGTTTTGCTTAATGAAGGTAATTTTCATTTACTTTCTTTAGGTCTTTTACATTATATTATTCACATTATTATTATTCTTTTATAGTTGGTTTGGATGAAACAAGTCCTTTCAATCCGTTGAGTGTACTTCACTATTTGCTTGAGCCAAGTTATCCAGCCACAGGGCCAACTGTTTCAGTGATAGGAATATCTAATTGGCGCTTAGATAACAGTAAAAGTAGTCGTGCATTACTTGTTCAAAGGTATGATTTTTTTTTAAAAAAAATTAAATATTAACATACATTTATATAATTTCACAATTTTGCATCTTATTTACAATTTTCTTATATCCTCTCTACAGACCACAATTTAATTTGAATGATTTAGTTGATACTGCTGAACGTTTATTAAATGAAAGAGCTATTGCATCTGGTCATAAAGGCGCCTTAAAACCTTTAGCCAAGGCATATTCAAATTTTGAAAAACATGGCCAATCTTCGTCTAACTTCCATGGTCTTCGTGATTATTATGCACTGGTTAAACGCCTCTCATTAAACGAAATGACTTCAGAGAATATTCAAATGGCATTAGCACGTAATTTTGGAGGAACAGACAATCATGTCAAATTATGTGATCAATACTTTGGAAATGTTCTAAAAATGTTTAATAGTCATAAGCCATGGACATATAAACAAATTCAAATCGAACAATTAATTGATTCAAATTTAAAAGATACTGATTCACGTCATTTAATGGTTATCGGTAAAAGTGATTCAATTGTAAATTTGCTGACTTATCAGCTAAGAAGGAGAGATTTGGATCCTGTTGTAATTCTAGGATCACAATTTCCTGATGATCAAGAGGATTATTATTATAGTGTTTTGAGGAGAATCATGGTTAATAATTTAATTTTCAACTCAACTCAAAGAAATTTTTTTTTCTGGTTTAATATCATGCTTATTTATATTAAAATCATTCTACCATTTTAGATGTGCGTTGAAGCAGGCAGACCATTGATTTTAACAGATTTAGAAATAATTTATGGTAATTATTTCATTTACTATCATAGATATAATAATCAAGTAAATTAAAATTTTTTTTTTCCTATTTCAATAGGGAGTCTTTACGATTTATGGAATCAAAATTATATTGTGGTGGGAAATAAAGATAATGTCAAATACTTTACGAGAGTTGCACTTGGAGCATATTCCAATCCTATGCTGTAAGTAAATTTATGAAATTTATCATTCATATTTTATTATTACAAAAACATTTTAAATAATAATAAATTTTTAGGTACGTTTCTCCGAATTTTAAATGTATTCTTATTATGGATGAGGCTAAGTTGGCTTTGGCTGATCCCCCACTTCTTAATCGATTTGAGAAACAAAAAATGTCGATTAATGACATACTTGACAATAATCAAAAGTTACTTTTTGAAAATTTAAATGATTGGGCAAGAAAATTCTCAACTCCGATCAATAATAATCAAGCAACTCAATCACGTAATAAATTTACCCAAAAGGACCTATTCATTGGATTTGATGGTAATGAAACCTTACAAAGTTTAATTATTGACATTACGAAGAATAATCCCGAAGCAGCAGAAGAAGAAATATTAGAAAAATGCAAAGAATGTTTAATTGCAACGGCGACTTCTGATGGTGTTGTGAGAGCCGAGTTATCAGCCTTAGAGCGAGATGAATTTGAAAAATGGAAACATGTTTATTTTAATCAACAGCATCATGATAGTCTTTATGATTACTTTGATAATCAAGAAACGCCATCGGATTCTAATGGACATTTATTAATTATAAACACTTTCTCCAATATCAATACGGATGTTAAGTTTTGTTTACGAAAGCTTGTTAGTTGTCAAGTGGATAAATTGTCGATTTTCAAGACTGAAGCTCAACTTTCGAATCGGGTAAGTCAAAGCGATGATTTATTAAGTTAATACATGCACGTTTTTCTTGCTAACCTATACAACTTTGTATTGTAGGTAAAACACTATTGGTCTGAAGAATCAAATGATCAAATGCTAATTCTCCAATGCGATGTAACTACTGTTAGTACTGGATGTATTAAACTAGCCAAATTCATTATTGAACAATTTCGAAATGAATATATATCAAAAAGGGATCAAATGGAGCGGAAAATGCCTACGAAGCATGCATGTATCATTCTTCATACTCATCGAGATCAGGAATCCACTTTTACATCTTTTAATTTCATGTGCGGTTGGAAACAAATGACTATTGAAACATTATCAGGAAGTGACGTTCCTACCTCAGGTCTCTTGGATGGGTCTTTATCTCGTATTGTTGATTCTATTTATCCATTTGAAAAAATTTTACAACAAGAACTGTTATGGTGTCTATCATGTATGAGATTTCCGTCGAATGACAAGTCAATCAATTATATAAAGTAAGTAGCACGTAAAGTAATGATTTTTTTGTCTTTCATATATATATAATTTTCAATTAAAGTTTGTGTGTTAATCTTTTTTCTTTAGGACATTAAACGAAAAAATCCTAGAGTATTCAAACTTTATTAATTGTTTAAAAGTAAGAGTTCTTGAATGGATTGAAGAAAAATCAATAGATAATTGGCAATATAAAGTCGCATCAGCAAAACAAAATTTATACCCATACCCTTCATTTTCTGTAGCGCTACAAGCTCATATTAGAATACTGTTTAGGAAACCGATAGCCCAAATTTTATGTGCTTTGGAAAAATTATCAGCAACAAAAACATTTTTTTATATTAATGAACGAGCAAGATCAGAAGGAAAATATGAGAAATTACTTAAGTTTTGGGAACAGGTTTATATGGATAAAAAAATCATCAAAATTAAAAATATGCGAAATCCAATACCTGACGGGTGTGATATGCCGGCAGGAAGTTTACTTGATCTTAAATTCCCCTTTTCATTATATTTTATGAACCAAATTAATAGTTTTAAAAAAATTTATGAAGAAGAAATAGCTAAATTACAAGAAGATAATGAGAGAATTGATGAAGAAACTAATGAACTATACGATTACGTGATTGAGGATCATTTGAAAGAATTCAAAAATAATATTCTTACGTCAATTCCGCTGTTAAAAGAAAAAGATTCTCCACTTGAATGGGAATGGGCTTCTGAACTATATTTCAATGACTTTGTTACTATTATTGCGTCAAAAGATGGTGAAACAAAGAATAAAAAAATGTTAGTATTAATCTTGAAGTTACTCATCGGTGATAAAGTACGTAAACCAATTTTCCTTCATGCATATTGGTGGAAAAATGGCAACGAAGTTTTAGCTCAATTACAATTGGCTCAAATGTCTCCAATAATAATTAAAAATATCGAAATTCAAGGAAATATTACTGTTGGAGAAAGTCTAGAAACATATCTCGCAAAAGAATTGATAAAATTGATGTTGCAGCGAATTTGTGGAAATTTCAAAGGCGCAGAAAATTCTCATTTGATTGATAAATGGCAATATGATGTCATAAAAATATTATCCCTTGTTAGCAAGATAACGCGAGCAAAGAATTTACCAGATCTTAAATTGTTACGTATTGTAAACGATTTAGTTGCAACAAAGTCCATTCCTTTAGATAGTATTAGAGAAATTGTTCAACTTAGATTAAGTTCGGATGAACAAGTAGTTTTCTCGGAGAAATTTGTCAGCACTGTACTTAATAAGCTAGATAAATTGGAACAAAATGAAAAGAATATAATTCCAAAAAGATCATTCATCATGAGATTCCTTGCATTGATTCCAATAGAATCAGAAGTTCGACTAAGTTTCTATGAGAAATTGTTCTCGAAAGAACCTTTTCCATTAATGGGTGCAATCATCGAAAGAATCTTTCTGAAGGAAGACGGAGAAAATGAAGATATATTTTTTATAGTAATTACAGATTTCGAAGAAGCTATAATGCAGTCTCCTCGATTAAATATTATCAATAAATGTTTAGGAGATTTAGATACAAATATGGCTACTTTGTGTTGTGATACCATTGAACAAACCTTCTTTATGAATGAAGAATTAGAAAATTTAGGGGCTTATATTGGACCGGCTCTTGAAGCTTTATATAAAAAAAGAATACCATCATTACAAAAAATAACTTCTATTGCTTTGCTTAAAGAATTCGTTCGTCGATTCTGGGACAGTTTCATTAAGAAAGATTATAATGATCCTGACCAAATGGAGGAAGACGATTTTGATAACGATTTTGATAATAATGACTTACTTGATCAAATTAACAATATTATGACATTCGTTCATCCTTTGATTCATTCTCTCAAAATTTACTTTTTAAGAGATTTGTGCCGAAGAGATTTTTCAATGGATGATATTAGAAAATTTTGTGATGCTCAGAAACATCTTTTACCGTGGCTTGGATCTTTCAATTGGGAAGATATTAAAGAAAATCGATTGTCATTTAATCCCTATTGTTATTTACCTGAATATAATGAAGCTGAAAATAGTATTATGTATTTCTATAGTGTAGGAAATAAGGCACCTTTTCAAAAATTTATCCAAAACATGAACCAAAATATGACTTTAACGGCAAAATTATCTTTAATGGGGCTTTTCTTTGTACGTCTTCATGCTTTGAGAGCTTCAAGAGAATGGCAACATCCAGAAGAGCGATTAGAAAAATTATTGACACGAGAACTCGTTGGAATAAATCTTCCAGATTTACTTAAACTAATTGCAACAAATATCTTGTCGAATAAACAACCTCTCCTTAAAATTAATAGTCCGGAAATTAATAATACTGAATTGCTTATAAAATCCGTTATTGCTCATATTATCATATTTCACGCATCGGTTGAACCGAATTCATCTCAATTAGCAATGTATTTACACAAATTACTAGATTGTCAGAACTCGTTTATTTTATCATGCATGTCTGACGTAGAATCAATGGTGTTAAACGCCGTTGCTGCTACTGAAAAAACAAATACAAACAAACTTACAAGATATGTTTGTAAGTGTGGATATAAATATTTCATCGCAAATTGTGGTGGAGCTGTTGTTACTACTAGTAAATGTCCGGAGTGTGGAAATACAATCGGCGGAGCGGGTCATAAATCAGCAGAAGGAAATACTATACTCGATAATAAACCAGTTGCTCAATTATCGGTAAACGATCAAACAGGATACATTGGAGAACTAGCTAATCAAAATTTGTATCATTCCGTCAGATATATGACACCTATGTCGTATCGTATTTTACATTTAATTGTTCATGCTCTTATGGGAGCTTCTGGACCTCAAACTGCCCTTGCCTTCCTTCAAAAAAATAATCAAATTGCCACAGATTCTGAAAAGTATTGTATGGACCATATTAGAAACGATTGGGAAATGCTGAAAAAACTTCTTAATTGCTCAGATGCGGTATATTTACATAAATTTTTTTTTCATTTTATTAAAATAAATTATTAACTAATAAAAAAAAAAACTTTTAATTCTAATTAGAATTTGGCGTTAATGTTCCATTCATTAATTTCTTCAATGATGGAAAAACCATTATCGAATCAACAAGTGACAACATCTGTTGAGCGTGAAAAGTGGGAAACAGAATTCAATAATTATATCACACCGCAAATTAAAAATATAAATGAAACAGTAACTAATTATCGTATGAAATTAAGCGAAGTTCTAAACAAAAATCAAAAAAGTAATTTAATTGAAAGTGAAATCAATCAAACTTTAGTTATGGATCAACGATATCGAAGTGAAAATTTACCAAACTTGTGGAGAACGATTGGAATGATTGGTTTTGACAGTTTCCGCGCTTATTATATGAGCGATACGACAAGAATCAACGATTATCCATTCCTTTCAGTATTTTTAAAATATTCTCAAGAATTAGAACTTCTCAAACATCTTTTACCTATAGTAAAGTTCGTTCAAATTTTGCATTCCAAACTTGGATATCGGTTAACAAGACAAACTGCAGGAGAAATGACTTTCAGACAATTTATTCATAAAGAATCCAATGATGGTGAGAATTATGAAATTTTCAATAGCTTGAGAACAGCTTTTGATGACTTTAAACTTGGTTGGAATACAGTAATATCTCTCGTAAATCGATATCAATTTAATGAACTTCCCGATGATGAGCCAGCCATGAGAGATAATTCACCAGTTGTTCTTGGTTTAATGGGACAGAAAGATTCAGGAATTTACTTATGCGCAATTTTATATCATTTAGTTAATATACAAAATAAATTTCTACAAGAAGTCATTGAAATTTCACCTGGAACTTGTAAATCTCTCAAATTTTTAGATGGACCGACAATTGATTTTGGATCATCAACATCAAAAGCAAAATCAGAAACACCTAATAGATATTGTCTTCAATCGATGTGTCTTGATCAAGTTCGTTCCGTTAATATCATAAATTTTGAATGGGATGATGAAATTCTTGCATATAGTCAAAGAAATTTAGCAATTGCTAGAGGAGAAGATATTGTTTATGATTTGACAAAAATTGAAGCGGAATTAGCAAATATTTTAGTATTTGAAAAAGTTTACCTAGAAACTCAACCAGAGTCTCAGTTATATTTAGAACCTTTCCCATATCATATGGAACTTTTCCAAGGATATATGAGAATTCTTAGTGATATTAAGAATTTAATAACTCAAGAACCCATCTCAATTGAAAAAATGAATTTATTAGATCATACTTTAGATAACGCGTCAGAAAATTTATCATCATTAGAGTTTCTCCTATGTTTTGTTAAACGTACAGCGGTTAGAGATAAAGACATATCCATTAAGGATTATATTTCAAAATGGGTGAAATTATCTTCATTGTCTACACATGAAGGATTCGCTAGATTCTTAAATATCGATTTACGACTTAAACACTTGGTAGCTTTATACGAATTCGTTGAAGAGCAAGTCGCCGATGTTAAAATTAAATATATTCATGAAAAATATAAAGAAGAACTTTCAACAGATATGAAGGCGGCAATAATGAATTCTGTAGATTTTAAAAAGCAAACTACAATGAAAATAGCTATACCAGCAGAAGCATTCTCGTTAGCCCTAAAAAGGTTCATGTTCCGATTTTTAACTTTAGAGAATCAAAAAGAAATGGAGCCACTATATGTTTATTTACAAGATAGTTCATTAAATTTATGGCCCTCAACAATTCCAGAGAATATTATTGATGAATTATTTCCAGAAAATCTGTTAGTGGCTAATACATATGATGCTTACGATTTTACAATGAGAAAGCTTGAGGTGAGAAAATTTTAAATGTACTATATAATGAACATATTATTTTATATTGTTCATTTATCTAATAAGAATATTTTTATTTCAAGTAAACGAAGTCAAATGCACCCGGAAGGATATTAAATCAGCCCAAAACTGCTATACATATACCAAGAACGCTAAAAACAAGAAAAGGTATATTTGATGTTTAATAGTAGTTTTTCTAATATGATATACTATACAGGGATGCCAATTTGCCACAATTGCAGAAAAAATTCTTAATTTTTAAGTGTTCAATGATATTTCCAGCCAAAATTAAGATAATTTTGACCATGTTTTTTTAACTTTTTAGGGCGTTTCGATAGTTTCGATAGAATGTAATGATGGATACATACCAAAACCTAAAAACCTGTATTGCTTAATTTTGAACCGAATTACACACATTTTTATTATTTTATGCAATAATTAAATAAATACTGTACGTACAGTATGTATCGTATGAATAGTTAATAAAATCACATGTCCGTACATTATTAAGAATTTTGAGACATTGAGTTTTTATCGAGTTTTCTGATTTTAAAGTGAGAAAAGTAATATCAATAACTTTCAAAACGGTTTATTATAACGTAAAATTACAAAGTTACAAAATGATGTTTGAATTAATAAGTAAATATAGATCAACTTTCAGACCAGAAACGTGTTAAAAAAGTGATCTCTAGAGAAAAGAAAAAGCATCCAAATCAAAGATCAATAGTTAAAATTTTTTTTAAAAAACAAAGAAAACTCTATAAAACGTGTCATCAAAGTACTCCTAAAAAGAAAGTGGTAAAAGAGCCTGTTAAAAAAAAGAAAACCCGCGTTTCGAAGCAATAAAACATATAAAATTTACCCAAAAAGCATCTCAAAGTGTTTTAAAGTAAAAGAAATAATTAATGTAGAAAAAAGAAAAACCACATATCCCTGTAAAGATAAGAAAGGTAGTAATGGTTAAAGAGCACCGCCTAGGATGATTAGCTTTATTATCGATCTTTTTGAACACCGTTTAATAATTACAGCATATGGACTAAGGGGAAGTTATTTTCCCTTTAATAAGGCGAATCTTCTATAGCCCGCAAAAAAAATGTCCTAAAATTAATCCTAAAGAAAATGGAGAAGAGAGAGTGAGAAAAAAAAAGGATACAGTCGGCACTCAATGTAACGAAGTAGGCGCGGTCCGGGCCGATCAGGCCTTCGTTATGAGAAAATTCGTTAATGCAATAACGAATTATTCGGTATAGTAGGAAAATTTAGTATAAATATAGGAAATGTAAGAGAACGTGAGGTAAGGAAACTGCATTAAAGTAGTAAAATTGCTTATTTGAGAATAAATTTCATAAAATTCAAACATCAAATTGCCCTTTATATTAAAATTAAATTTGTAAAAATCTTCGTTATACGAAGAAGAAGTTCGTCTTAATGAAAATTCGTTATGTAAAGGGTTTATTTTATATATGCGTATAAAAATAACTTCGCTAAACGGTATACAAAATTTGAAGATTCGTTGTGAAATTCGTTATATCAAAATTTGCTATCAAACTTCATACACGATAACACACGAAGGACTAATCGACTAGATCGAGAACGTTATTCAAGAATCTAGAGTAAATTTTGCATGACATTATCATTTGGATTTCATCAAGAATGCAATAAAATTAATAAAATTAGCGAGCAAATAATAAAATTATGACCAACTAAATATATATTATATATAGCCCAAAACTAAAACGTTAATTATGTAATGAGCTTGAAGAAATTAAAAAAGAGGTAATGAATTGTATGCAAACAATTAAAGTGAAATATAATGGTAAGGTTAAGAAATTGAATCGTGGTTAGCTATGCTGAATTTGCTTATCATCGTGGGGTCAGTATCAATATATTTAATATAACAGATAATATTGTATTTTTTGGCAAATGGCAACAATATCCTGCTATGTTGGCTGTAATATTTAATTTACATAAATGTCGTATATTTTTAACTATAAATTTGTACATGTTAATCAATCTACAATGATAAGACTTTCTCTTACAATATTTAATCTTTTCGTCCGTGTTTTCTCACTATCATTACTACTTATCCTAAATAATACTGTAATACATGGTAATCAATTTTTTTTTTTTTAAATTGTTATCATCAACATTTTCAATCAATTCAAGATTTTTGTGAATATCATCAACACTTCCCTCAGAGATTTGGGCTTTCTGTACGATATTAAAAATTTTAAATTTAATAAGACTGTCGTTATTGTTATTAGGTTTCCCACTCACTAAAAAAATTACAATAATCATTAATGGTTATTTTATAACGAGTAAATTGACAATCCATGCTAGCATAAATATTTTGATTTCATAAGTCCATCTAATAATCCTTCATAAAATTTAAATATGTAGTACGCGCATAGGAAAATTTGCATGAAGTATAATAATTATTCAATTCATCAGTCCCAATTCCCAATTATAATTATTTTTATAAGCTTCTATCATGAAAGGTTTAACGTCAGTTACATGTCCATATTCGTTAGCCATTAATCCTTGCACGAATTAGCCCTCGGTTTTTATAATTAATTTGGAATAAATGTTGGTTTGCGTAATTGAAAAAAAAATTCTTAAATAAGGGATCAGAGGCTGCATGTTTCAGCAGCGCCATCGCTTATTAAATTCTCAAGAAAGTTTGACTGAAATCTGATTGGTTTGTGTGATAGAAAAATTGGCCCAAAATTTATTTGATTGGTTAAATTCTATTATAAATAAGAAAGGATCAGATACATATTGTAGAAAATCAATGGATCATTTATGATTTACCGATAGGAGCATTTTGCCGAAAATCATTTCATCGAAAATCATTTCCCCGAATTTTCTTATTTTTTTTTTTTTACACTTATTAAAGTGAAAAAATACAATGTGAATTATTTATTGTGTAGAATTTTTATAATATGCAGTACGTAAAAATTTATTTTAATGGATATTTGTGAAGTAATCAATAAATCAACAATATTTACGACTTTGGTAAGAATATACCATTATATTAACATTATTATGTTAAAATATTTTCACACCATCACCCGAAAAAATGGTAGACGGTTTGATTTGTAGGATCACACGTGACTTCGGATACTGGTCGTTAAATTGTGTCGATCAAGCTTTCTTATCCCCAAATGCAGGAGTTGATCGCCAAAAAAAGGGATCTTGCGTTAGCGTTAAGGAGGTGGAAAAAACTACTGTCATTATAATATTTTTCTTATGTTTCTTCAGGTTTGGTACATATAAATTTTTTTGGAAAAAAAGAAAATTTTAAAGGAAAATTTGAATGAATATACTTATTTTCACGTGACAGTCGTTGCACGTCATTTTTTTGAAATAAAAAAATATATATTGCTAAAAAATGAAGATTGATTGATATAATGATTTTATAATTTTAGGAAATTTAGACATATATATGTAAACAGATTTCTAAATAAGCGGTCAAAATTAGAATCTAAACATTATTAATTAAGTACAAAAAAAAATTGAGAAAGATTTATCATAAATAGTCAGTAAATAAACCTTTTCATTTGGAAAAAAAAAATATATAAATTTATTTTTCTTTTCATCATCAATTTTAAAAAAATGAATTTGATCAAAATTTTAACAATTATTAGTTGTTTCTTTTTTAAAGTAATAATTGCACAAGTTCCTATTTATATATTTCCAATAGAAACTGTTAATTATTATGTTAATGGTGGAAATGGAATTCAAATTTATGTATAAGAAAAAGGAAATACAAAAAAAATCACAATTTTATTTACCAGTGGTTATATGTCATCACGACAATCTTGGCATCCATTATGGTATGATACAGAACTTGGAGAAAAATTTCAACGAAGTGATAAACCTAGAGATGTTAAGGGGAGTTACACATNCTCTTATACACATCTAGATGTGTATAAGAGACAGCTGTTAGATTTCATAACCAATCAAATTATAATATTTATAAATCATATGATTTAAATAAGTGTAACGTAAAATTTTAACTACCCCCCTCCCCCCCTATAATAATTACATAATATGTGTAAGCTCCCTAAAGCGTACACTTAAATTAGTTGGACAAGATCTTCACGCCGTAATATCAAAATTGATGGATTTATTTCGGTTGGAGGAATGATATATTATAACTTACAGAAGCCAGTTTAATTGTAAAATATTCCATCGCAGCAATTGATCCAGATTATAAATTTTCAACAATTGCTTATGGATTAATCAATTTCGTGCTTTTAAGCTTGGTGAATCTATTATTGTACCATCTGAATATCGAAAATTTAAAGTTCAACGTGAGTATTAATTAAAAATTTTTTTTTTTTTTTTTAAAAAAAAAATATAATATAAATTAAAAAATTTTATTTAATTATAGCATTTGATTTTAGAGATTTCTTTAGTTCTTTAGATATTTCAACATTAAATCTTATCAGGGAAAAAGATAAAATGATTTCGCTTGAACATAGTTTACAATTTGCAAATCTTGCAAAAAAGGGGAAAAAATCGCTTATAAGGATATTGGACACTCACCACCATGAAAAGACACTAAATCAGTTGTTAGAGATATCACAGAATTTGTGTAAAAATTTCTTTGTATTAAATATGTTTAATATTTAAAAAAATTTCTTTGTATTATTAAATGTTAGGATTGTTATTTTATTCGTAGAATTACTTTTTACTATTATAATTTATTTATTATATAAAATCTTGTAACTATGTTTTATTTTTAATATTAAAATTTTCAAGCTTGTACCGTACTTGTTTACTATTGTTTATTTAATCCTAAAAAACGTGGCGCAATAAAATATTGGAATTTTTGAACATCCTGAACATCCTGAACATCCTGAAAATCCTGAATATCCTGAATATCCCCTGTTTAATAAGGATTATTAGGTAAGGTTTGAAACGAGTTATTATTATTATTATCTTTGTTACATATAAATAAAAGAAGAACTTTTAGGTATTAGAACATAACTTTTTATGGAATATAATATAATGATGTGAAACTTCATTATACATATATGTACATATAATATTTATTTGGTAATGATGAAACGCAAACAAAAAAAAAAAATAAAAAAATAATAATAATAAAATTTTTTTTTTATCCAATCGTTTAAAATACGGAAAATTTTTTTAGGCAACCCAGAAAAGTTTAAAATATTTTAAATTATTGGGTTTGGGTTTTAAATCGAGTTTTAGAATTTTAATTTTAAGTTTCATAAAAAAAAAAATATGGAACAATCTAAAAAAAGTTTTTTTTAGAAATTTGATCGTCACTCGAACAATAAGAATTGTTGGTGGTACTATTGTACTATTGTTTAATTACTTTTTAAATGAAAAAAGAATTACGTATCAATTTGATCGACAGAGCGCAGCATAAATATTATTCACATATTAGAGACAATCCTGAAAAATTTTGAGTTATAAATTATCTTAAATATGATATGAATGAACGTATAAATGGTAATAAATGCATCAAATTGTCTCGGTATCCATTATTAGAAATGAGCGACTTTCTATAGTTTCGGCACGTATAAATATGCTTCACCGCGACGAAGATTTCTTGCAACAAAAAATTTAAAAATTCAAATAATAATAAAAAACAAATAAAAAAACAACAAATCTATAAAAAGCTCAAAGCAAATACCAAAAAAAAAACAAAAATCAAATTTCTCTTTTTTTCCCCCTCAATTAAAAAAACACACTTTTTTTTTTAAAAAAAAAAAACATCATGTCTGTTGTCGAAGGAATTCCAGCTCCTTATTACGTTACTTGTTTACATGAAGAAGGACGAAGTTATTACAATAATAAAAATCATGCATTTGAATTAAGAGTAAATGGTATTGATAGATCATTCTTCGTACATTTAGAATATCTTACCTCTCAATCAACATTCTTTCGAGATAATTGTACCGACGTAAAAGAAGGTGATCTAGTGGTAATTGATGTACCATCTCCCGAGACATTTGAGCCAATTATTGAATATTTATATTTTGGAAATGGTGATAAATGGTATGATACCATGACTATTGATAATTATGGTGATGTTTATCATAACGTTGAATACCTCGGTTTAGACGATAACGCAAAATCAATTTGTCTTGCATTTTATCAAGCAAATCAATCCAGTTTAGAGGCGTAAAAAAAATTATAGAAAAAAATAGATAGATCTATACAAATAAAAGTAGCTCTTCTAGTTCTGCAATTGTAATTTTATTCATATATACAGTATATATTATTTCAACAATCAAAAAAAAAGAAAAAAAATAGCTTTTAAAAAAAAAAGGACATTTTCGCATAAATTCACGTTTTTAATTTCATCAGATTGTTAAAAAAAAAAAAGAAGAAATAGTTCATTTCGTGTTTATTAAATTTTCTTTTCTTTTCTTTATTTTTTTTTTTTTCTTATTTGTAATTTTTTATTCATTTTTCTTTTCATTTTTTCCTGCATTTGAATTCAATAAAATTCTATTTTGTTTTAAAAAAAAATGATCTTTTAAAATTTTTTAAAATATTATTTAAACAATGTGGATAATAACGTCTTTCACGTTGATTATGAGTTTCATTTTCTCTAATTTTTGCGTTTTCTAAGTGTTTCAGGATGAATAAATACAGGCTGGCTATCCATTTTACATTTTTAATTTATTATTTTAACACAAGATATGTTATATTTTTTCATTTATTATATTTTTTTCGTTTATTATAAATGAATCTTAAATTACATGAAGAAATAATTTAAAAACAACTAAATTTATTATATACAGTACATCTTATGAAGGTTAAAATAAAGTTTAATTCTAAGCTAATATCAAAATTAATAAGCTAATAGTATAAAAAGTATTAAGCTTATATATGTCACGTGTATATAAGTCACGTGTGGGACAGACAAACTTTTGCGTAGAATGTAAAAGTCCTCCACTTCGCTTCGGACAAAAATATGGCTATTTATACGTATCCCTATTTGATTACACATAACATACATTGGAGCTAGTGTAATCTTATCAAAACTAAACACTATACTATGATATAATAAATACGTATTAATTTCTTCGGTGCTGGTAGTAGCTTTTTTAAATTTCTGGGAATTAATAACACCTGATAAAGAAGTGCAAACCTTATATTTGATCTAATCTTACCTAATAATTCTATGAATTCAATATTTTATCTTTTTCACATCCTAATATGAAACCTTCTAATTTCCTGACTTTACACCGTCTTTTACTCCATCTTCTTTACTAATTTCTACAAACCTATAAACAATATTAAGGATATTAACTGAAAATTATAAATAATTAAATTATCGGCAAAATATGAAACTAACGTTGATTCAAGATTTACTCACTATCACCATGCGCCAACATCCATTCATCAGTAGTAGTGACTTTTTTTTCGTACGACCTTCCTAGCATCAGGAAGGTGAACAACTTAAAATTTAGCGGGACTTTTACTAAGGTTAATGTTGATTTATTTTCGACATTGGGTATCTCATATAGTATAACTAACAACATTATTTTTGTTTATCCAGAATATTGATGATTGGGATAAATTAAATCAGATCATGGACTTATTAATGTTGGGATGCTGTGTTAATATACTGTTCGTATAGTTTGTAAACCGGTGTAGTCCGTAGGCATTCCATTTTGCTTTGTAAAGCAAACTTACATAATAATTTCTTTGGTTACCCACACTGGAGTGGCTGGACTCATGTTAACGATTTTTGTGTAATTTCGGATGAATAAAATTATAGTCAAAAAATAATGGTGAATCGCAAAAGCATTTAAAGTTTCGAGTTTATTCAATGTGACCCAATTCTCGAAGATGCTCTGGAATAATTCTTCGTGATACTAAACATACTCTAATTCTTTTTCGCATAATTCTTTTTTGAGTTGATCCCTTTATTGCTGTTTGATAAAATTTTTGGAATTTCTGTGGAAGAATTCGATATATTTTTCATGTTTGGGATAGGGTTGGATTAGTCCAGTCCAGTCCAGTCCGGTCTGGTCCCAAAAGACTGATCTTTCAGCCTGGACCGGACTGGACTAGACCAATTAATATTTAGAAAATCTGTCCCACGATGCATTTAATTAATGAAAAGTTTAATAATTGAAAAAATTTATTTAATTTTTAGTAAAATTCACATGAATTATAAATTAAATCCATTTCGTTTTAATCGATTTAATTATAAATAAAGTAAAAAATTTAAATGTCTAAACGTACAAAATTCGCTAAATATAATTTAATAAAGAATTCTCATTTAGATTAAATATTTAAAAATTTGATTTATTACTATGTAGCAACCTCAATACAATAATTTCAAAGACATCAATTAAAAAAAGATATCAATTGACCAATTAACAAATGGCTTCACGAGGACCCCGAGCAATACTGAAATAGGTAACAAGAAATAAACGCGTAGAATAGGCCAAACCATGAAAATCTTTCCCTTTTTAGATAATTTTCGATAATGTTGGTCAGAATTTTATTACTTATTTTATAATATCTGACTGACATTATCATAATTCCGGCCCTGAAAAATTACGTAGAGCTAATAGTAAATTTTTGCTAATTTCCTATGACCTATTTATATATTGCTCGGGGTCCTGCTTCACGAATCCAACTTTTCAAGCACAATGTTACTCTAGCTATTTTAGCATTCAATGGCGAAAAAGCTTTTTCTGATGCCACGCTCGTGCAGTGTTGTTGCGTAGATTTTGAAAGAAATTTCGCGTCTCCTCTATAATATCATCTGTTTCTCCTGTTGTATTTTCTGCAAGTAAATCGGTCAAATTTAATACTAAATTTTTTGCATTAGTTTTTTCGATTTTATCTTCAAATGCAGAGAATTTCACCCTTGGATCTAATAATAAAGAAATTTGCAAAGATTACGCTGCAAAAAGCTCTTATCATTAAATATCGAGATAAATGGTCCTTAATACTGAGAAAAAAATGAACGAACGTCACCATGAGTTGGATAACTAGATGTTAAAAGGAAGCAGATTGCACGTTCGATTAACTTAAAAAAACCATACTAGCATCCTAATTTTATAAGTTTCTGCAATACTATTATTGAAAGATATGCTGAAAGGATACTTACATCAATATTAATACGATCAACATCGCCAAAATACGAACATTTGAATCATCAGCGGCAAGTAATTCAAAGCAAGCTCCATTCATTTCCACTTTTCCGACATGTAAAAGGTGGAATTCCACCTTGTATTAAAGTCTAACTTGGATACTAGATATTCGATTCCTTTACTTTACATAATGTTTTTAACGAGCCACGTACCGGCTGAGAGAATTTAATGTAAAACATTAGAAATCTTACTTTCTTAACGGACTCACTCATCGGGAAAAATGTACCCAAAAAATCATGCTAATCGCTTATTTAGTTAGATTATATCACATATACCTCGTCTTTATTGGTTGCAAGTGTGAAGAGTCTTTACGATTATCATATAATATGGTAAGGTTACGCATCAATTCTTACTGAACTGGCTTATTAATCAATCCCTTACCATGATATTGTAACTGATATTGTAGGTATAAATAGGCCAACATTAGTGCTTTATGTCTATACTTATCGCCGTCAGAATTAATTACGGCACGCGGACGAATGGACGACTTTCGAATACATTCCTATCAAGAGCTTAGATTGATGATTTGTCTTTTATCAATATATTAATTTTTCTTGTTTAATTTTCTTTTGTTTTAAATTTATTTTTTATTTTTATCATCAATAATTTTTTAGTTAATCAATTTTATTACGATAAGATACAAGCATGTAGAGTATAGGAAATAGAAAATGAAAAACATAGGATAATATTAGAAAATCAAAAAAAATTTATATAGAACTAGGCGTAACCCGTCGTGTTGCGCCGGGGATGATACTTGCTCATCAAGTAAGAGAGTAATAATAACGCACTTATATTTAATTTGCAATGCAGTGTGAATAGGTCTAGTTTTTATTATTATTATGATGGTATTAGTAGGAAATAAATGTAATAAATTACACAATTTATATGATTATACAAATAACAATGATTTGTGTGCAAGTGTTATACAGTATATGAAGTAATATTATTAAATGCAAATTTTATTTATCACACGAAACAAATGTTACAGTACTGTGAAATTTACAAATTCATTACAAAAACAATTTTGTATAAGTAGTTTATTGTTACATTGTCACAAAAAAAAATCTTTTGTTTTATCTTAAAAAATTCCATTGTAGCATTAAAAAAAATTACATCCTCTAGAAAGAAAAATATCTCACTAATTAATATGAAAAAAAAATTCTCAGAAAAATTAATTATAACGATCTATTGTCACCAGAAAAATTAATTATAACGATCTATTGTTACAAAAAATAAATAAATAAGTAATTAGGTTAGTCTATTATTGAGCCTGATACAAAAAAATATTATTATTAATAATAAGAATTGGGAAAAAAGGCAATTGCCATGACGCCGCAACATCGATTTGATCACCCATCCAAACCTAAATGGTGAAAGAATGTATTTGGGAAAAAAAATTCGGTTTGAAAGAATAAAGCCAAACCGAAAAAAAAAAATTTGAAAAAATAAAAATGAAAAAAAAAATTTGTGGGGAGGAACAAAGAGAAAAATCGGATTGAAAAAAGAAACCGAAAAGGAAAAAATAAAGAAAAAATAAAAAAGAATTTGAAAGAAAAAGAAAAAAAAAATTTGGGGGAAAAGAAAAAGGATAAAGAAAGAGATCGGGTTTAAAAAAAATAAGTACCGAAAAAAAAATTCTGCAAAAAAAAGGACAATAATTTGGTCCAAAAGACCAAATAACGTTAATAGATTATTTAATAAGAATAATTTTTCGGTTTTGGAAAAAAAACCAAATCTAAACAGGAAAAGAATGAAAAAAAAACAGAGGAAAAAATGAAATTAAAAAAAAGGAAAAGAAAAAGGTAAGAGAAAATCTGAAAAAAAAGAAAGAACCATTTGTAAAAGATCGGTCCAAGAAAAAAAAAATGAAAATTAAAAAGAAGTGGAACCGAAAAAAAAAATCCGATTAAAAATTTCTTAACCGGAATTGATAAAGAATACGGATCAGCAATTCAAAAATTAGGCTAATCTAACCCCAATTTTTTAATTATATAGAACTAGCAATTTTATTTTCAAAAGCAATAGATAAAAAATTAAAGAGCACCGATGATGTAATGATGACGTGTACAATAACGCAAATTTTCGTCATAAGCAACACGGGTCACTGTAACGATTAATTAAAAAGGAAATTTATAAATAGTCTATCAAGAAAACGAATAAGATTTAATGTCGCCCTTATTTGAGACCGCCAATCAGATATTAACCACCCCACTTAACATACTTTCCTCCAACCTCCGATAAAGTATGCGTATTGCGATTGTATTTTATATTTGGCAATTTCAATGACTTTTTTGAGGATCCTTATCATAGTCCTGCCATGCATTAAATTACAATGATTGATTTTTTTTTTAGTGAAAACATTTTGTCAAAAGATTTTTAAAGTCCCAATTTCATCCAAAAAATTACCCATTCAAATTTTTTATAAGTATTAATTAATAAATAGTAATTACAAAATTTGACGTTCAATTAAAAGTATTATAACATATTGTTATTTTTCAAAATTCATAAAATCAAATATTTAAACATTAATTTTTATGTCGGTAAAGCAGATAAAATAGTGAAATTAATTATATGTGCTTATAAATTAAAAAATACTGTCAGAGTTAATGTTCAAGAAAGAAAAAATATTATAAATCGATTTATGCTTATCTTGTGGATTGGTAATATAAGGTTCCGGGCAATACAGAATTTGTATGAAAGGAAGACGTAAAGAAAGGGCCTAAAAGAAAAAGACCTAGAAGACCTAGAAGACCTAGAAGACCTAGACAGAGATATGATAAACCTAAAAAAGATGACGAAAAAAAATAAAATGAAACACCACACACACAAACCCACTCCCAACCCACACTCCCAACCCACACTCCCACACCCACTCGCACTCCCAACCCACACTACCCGCATACCTAAAGAGTGACGTAAAGAAAAAGGGCCTTAAAGG